TGTTTCATATTATTTCCCCATAAGCTTGGCTGCTTCCATAGTTTACCAATTTAAAGAGCGGCACCGCTTGCAATGGTTAAAGCAAATGTGGCTGCAGCGAGCAATGTACTCAACACTCTTAATATGTCAGATTGCAACAAAGCATTTTTGTGCACACAGACCCTTGAGCGTCCAATGTAACCTGCCAAATTCACATCCAGGTGGCACTTTTCTGCTCGTATCAGATGAGGCTTTCACACGAGAAAGACAAATGTTGAAATATAATGGAATTCAGATGCGAGCTCCACCATCCAGCAGTTCTGTTCTAATTTAATATATCTCCGATATTTGAGACCCAATGAGCAGAATTGCTTGTGTGCATTTCCCAATCGTACAGAACTCAACTTTGAGTCTGCATTTGTCCAACAAATCTGCCTTATACTTCCACATTGCTGTATTGTACCATCTAAAGCATTTGTCTGAGTCCAAAATATGCGAGATATTTAAACATCAACACCTCACTTGTTCTAAACCATTGCTGCACACCATGTGGTCTCCTGGCACAAAATCTCTTCCCTCTGCACTTCACACGATGAATATTCCCTTTGTTTCTAATCGCTTGTTAATTAACATTAATTACATATTGCTTCTTTTCAGGATTGTGCACTACTTACCAGTTGCTAAATACTAGCAGCTCTTTCTGAACGTCCTTCTTTCTTACACAACTTTGTGTCATTTGGACACTTGGGCATTCTCCCTCTGATACATTCGGAGTTATAACTTAAGTATAAGCTGTGAAGAAAAGGAGGCAAGCAACTGCACAGGCTTATAGCTATTAAACACTGTATTCCAACCAGCCCTCCTGGAGGAGGGTGCACAGAGCCCGTCTCTGGCCTGTCCTGGTATGGGTGGGGGGCTCTAGCCTCTCTTCCTGGGACTTTCAAAACTGTGGGTCATTTTAATTTTGCTATAAATTCTTTAACAAATGTTTCCTGAAAGTGGAAATGCACGGTACTTAGCTGAGGCTAACACCTATTAACATCGATGTATTATTGCATGCATTTTTGTGGAGAAGGACTTGTGCTCGGCTTAAGTACCATACAGGTGCTTGTAAAGTGAAAGTGCTCCTTGTGTTGACAGTATTTTTTTTTAAGTGCTGACTTTTGACTAGAATTGAATTACAATTTTAGTTGGCAGCCAGGATATTTTCTGTAAGTACAAAACGTTCTGATTGTTGATAAGGGCGTTATCTGTGTCCAGTCAAACAAACTACACTTATCTAAATTGTTGTTCCTTACATGATAAAGACCAGTTTTGCCAGCCTTCGTGTTGGGCGGGGCACAGTGTCTAGCCCAGATGAACAATTTAATGTGTGTTTTATATATACACACTTAACAAATCTATTAGAAAAAGGGCAATGTTGTAGAACGCATTAATTTAATGGAAGTGTTCAAAGTAAATCTGTTTTCCTTTTTCCTTAAAGGGGCCAAAAGGTCACAGCCCATGGACTGGAGTGCTCAGTTCTTGCAGACGTCACAAAAAATAATTCAATTTGCTTCTGGAAAGAGCCTCAACCGAATGACACGATCATCTACGTGGCCGGGCTTTTGATTTGTTCCGTATCCTTATTCATACTGATCGATTGTTCCACTTAGTCACTGCAAAACCGTGTCTAGTCGGAGCACAAAGCTCTGACCAATGTTCAATTCCTTTACAATTTTTCAAGATATTGTCATGTCGACTTTCTGGAAAGTGTGTACAACATGGCACAGAGACCATATGTCATTGTTGGTCTGCACTTTGACCAGGTGGGCACAGCTTACACCACTTACCCGTGTCTGTCTATACATTCCTGTCACCTTTATCTGTAAAAGCCAGAATTAATTTCTCCTAGAAAACTTTTTTCTTGTCAGGATAATTTACAGTTGTGCTTCTATTCTCACTGTTAGTAGGAATATTGTGTCAAACTCTAGCAGCTAGCTGCAGCATAGTTGTGCTCTCTTAAAACAACTGCATGATTGCAAAACCAATACTCTTTTAACAGCTTTTTTATTATTTCTTTCGGTATATTGGGCAGAAAAATTGGATTAGAATTGGAAGAATACTAGTGATGGAATGAGCAAACTCAAAAGCTGACCTTTAAGTTGTTCGAAATGTCCTCCTGGCGTGAAAGCCTTATTGTATTTAGACCGTGGAAAGGATATCATCAACAACATCAAATGCCTCTTAGCTTTTTAAATAAGGTTTGAGTGATGACAACAGCACCATCCAGTAATGCAATTTCCTTCCTTTAAACAAATGAATCCTGCTCTGACTCCTGAACACACTGCAGAGTGTACTCTACCCTACTATCAATGACTGTGCCTCTTAACAATACAGTGAGTGCATACTGCTGCATATGTAGACAGCAGAAACAAAGCAATGTTTGCAAACTACCGAATGTTTACGGATGAAGAGCAGGTTCACTGTTGTGTATACCCGCTGAGCCATTCACTCAACTGTTTTTAAATAACTGAGTATGAACCATTTAAAATATGCAGATTTTGTTGAAACAATGGCCGTATCTAGTATTTAATTTGTTGTTGTGTGTCAGCTCGTCTGTTTGCTGGGTCACACGGAAGTGTGTGCTGATCACATGATTGCATCCCATGGAGAGGCGGGAGTCCAGCTAACACAATCGGTTACATTCTGCTAGATGGATTAGTGCTTGGATCAGCTTGTCTTGTGCCTTCTAAGCTCTGGTATTTTTTATTCAAGGCCTTTTTTCCTCTTGTAGGAGGTGAACCGATACAAGGGGAAGAATTACCCAATCATGAATATCCACGAGAGGACACTCAGTGTGTTAGCCTGCAGAGTGAGTGCAATGTCATTTTAAAATAATCCCAGAATTTAGACATCAGATTTGTAATCGCTCTGAAAATTTAGTCAGATCAATTGCTTACATATTTGGATTTTTTTAATCTCCTGCCAATAAAAAATATTTTTTCCCCCCCCACCAGTATGTGTCGGAGGTAGTGATAGGAGCACCGTATTCTGTGACTGCAGACTTACTGGACCACTTCAAGGTAGGATTGTCTGAAATGGAAATCTTATTTGTTAAGTAAAGCAAATCATGGCCCATCTTCGTTCCAACTTGTTAAACAATGATGTAATTGAACCCACTAGTTCTATAGCCCCGTTCAAGTGAAACAATCAGCTGACTGGTAATGTGGTTAAAATAATAATGTGGACAGGGTGGTTAAGATTCAACACTTGATGTAAGACTTGACTTCCCAGTAACAAGGCCCCCTGATATTTGCTGCCGATGTAAAGAACGGCCATTTGGAGGTGGCTGATGTCGGTGGAACCACAACCAGAATGAGTTATTGAAAGGAAAAAGCAGGATATTTCTTCAGTTCTGCAATAATCATTTCATGATGGGGTGTTTTATGAAAACAATTGTGAAGCAAGTACTGTAGCAAAGCTGCAGCTGGAAACAGCTTTACAAAACAGCTTTTTTCTTTTGTGTGTATTTCTGCTTATCGGGATGATGGATTAACAGTACTGGAGAATGGAAAAGTGTTTCTGCTTTGCACCGAGTGACGACATGAGGTACACTCCAGGTAACGGGCAATGCAGAGCTCCCCTGGTATTTCCTATTTGCTTAAACCCAGTGTTGAGCACTCTATCAGCAGCAAATTGAGTTTCTGGGGCTTGTTCCCACAGCATGAAACATGAAGGCAGCTTGGTGCTCTGATGGAAATGGACTTCAAGCGCCCAAGGTTAATGAGTCCCTTAAGCACAGTATGAGCTGAAAGACTCATCCCATCTGTCTGGGCTGGGTTCCAGGCCACGTCCAAGGACTGAGAGCACAGTTTACTAAACCCACTGAGACATTCAGCCCCCAACTCCATCCTCTAGTTTGAAAATGTCTAGCCTCATGGACTAGTTGTTTTTGCCATTATCTTGTAGTTAGTCTGTGTGAGTACTCAATCCGCTTGTGCATTAATTTACTAAACAGACGTGTTTGAGGATTTGGGGATGTCTTGAATGTCTTTAGTGGGGGAGAAGAAGGCTAAGTGAAGATTGGTGACGTGACCTTGAAGAGGCAAATCGGATCAAAACTCGGCTGCTATTTATTCATTTATTTAATCCAAGGTGATGAATGACCTGTAAGAACTGTTTGCGAAGTGAAATCCGAAGACATTCCAGCTGTTAGATTGCACTAGTGACTAATTACTGCATTGACCAAGCTATTGTTTTCTCTCAAGGTTGACCTTGTCTGTCATGGAAAGACTGAAGTAATGGTGGATAAGGATGGTGCTGACCCTTATGCAGTAAGTTGGAACAATCTGATCTCTAATATGAGCTAATTAATTCATGAGTTTCATTCCCTAAAATAAAGCCTCCTGCACTCCATCCAACATTCTCTGAAATAATTACCTTTTTTGTGATCCACTTGGCTGCAATGCAAGTAAGTTCGGGCTGTTTGCAGGTGGTGCATGTTTGCCTGTATGTAGTCTTCACTGTGAACTGATGGTTTCCATTTTCAGAGTGTTTTTCACATCTCAAAGCATTGGACAAATGCAGTCATTAGCACAGAGAAGGGGTAAAGGACATTTAGTAGATGTTGACCAGACACAATTGAAGGGGAAGAGGTTGCAAAGCCAAGTGACTTTGGAGTTCCAGACGGCCAGAACTTTTAATTACTTTGCAGTAAACAATCATCCTTGCATTTGATTATGCCTTTCACATCAGGACAACGTCTCCAACCACTTCACAGGATTTGCTATAAAGTTAGTCACACTGTGAAAAGGAATTGGTGAAGAGTCAGGCGAACGCTGCATCGTTTATACTACACACCTACTTCAGCAGCATTGTCTGTTGTATGTTAAAACTTGGCGCCATCTGAAGAATTGCTCATGCACAGTGCTCTTCTCCAAGTAACTGAGATAACAGCGAGCTCCAGCCATCTGCAAGGCAGCTTTCCTGACAAATCCAGCAAAAATTGCCGTGGTGCTTAAGTTTGATGAGCCACTGAGTCTGGTTTAGAATTCCATCCCTGTTGTAATACCCTTTCATTTCTGACCTCAGGAAGCCAAGCAACGCAACATCTTCAAAACCATCCACAGTGGCAATGAGCTCACTACAGATCACATTGTTCAAAGAATAATCAAGAACAGGTGAGTGAGGGCAGAGTCTTTTCCTACTATGTTGCAACACCAGATACATTGGATCACTCTGTAATATCACTGGCTTTAAGCCAGCGATGTCTTGTGAAGAAGGTTGTGGTATGAAAGCGATAGCTGAAAATGTTTCTCAGTTGATCAAGATACCTGGTAGCTCGCTGATGAAACCTATTAGAAATGTTGGTTTGCAGAGTGGCATTTTCCTGTTGGCAGCTTTAAGGCTTCTCTTTTCAACTTGCTTTCTTAATGCATTCGTCACCTGTGTTTGGAGAAAATGCATTAAGAATTAATTTCTGCAGCAGTACATTTGTTTTTGTTCGGTGTTCTTTTTTGTTCCCAATGTAAAAAACAATCTTCCTTTCTGTTGTCATTGAAGGCTGCTGTTTGAAGCGAGGAATCAGAAGAAGGAAGCGAAGGAGCTGGCGGCTATCCAGGCCGTCAGGAAGAGGAACGAACAGCTGAAGGAAGATGTCCCTGATGAGGGCAGCAATGAATAGACTTTTCTGACAAAACTGAAATATCCACTTGTGATGTTTGTTTACACCAACACACTACATTTTACAAACACTTTCTTTAACACTCGGTTTTTAAGGTTTACCGTGTTTTGGCATTTTAACTTTACAATGCATTTTACTTGACAAAATATGAATACTTTTTAATAGTTCTAACCGCTAAAATGATGTGCACTGAAGGGCATTCTAAAGACTTTGCATGTACTAAACCAAATTACTTGTAAATATCCAAATAACTGTGATTATAGAGTCCCGCGCTGTAAAAACAAATCCGTTCTATGTGTAATTTAAATTAGTTATAAATTCTATTTATTCTTGTTCTGTTGACTTGGAGAAAGTCTAACACTGTAGACTATTCAAATATCTTATGTTTTTGCAGAAAATGGATTTTATATATATAATATAAATATATATATCATGCTTATTTCTATTTAAAGATTTTTTTTAAGATCAACAATTAAAATACAAGCGTTGTTGGTGTTTTCTAAATTTTAGACTTTAACTGGTCCTCAGATAGTGAAACATGATTTTATTTTATCCTGGTCTGGAAGGCAATTGACTCACCCCTTGTTGTTCTCTAGACCCATAAAATTATGAGCCAAATTCCATTTTGTTCTCTCCTCCACAATGTAGCTGAATGGAAAGTTGAGGCATTTCATTTCAAACTCTTTTTTACTACAATCCCTGGGTGCAGTGTGTGTTCGGAATTTATTCTCTGGGAGTGTACAATATTGAAGGTCCCAGTGTCGAGTTACTGTCACCATTATGCACAGTTGATGTGATCTCAAACGGTTTGCAAGTGAAATCTGAATCAATGTTTAAAAAAAAATAAAAGCCAGCATGTATGCAGGGTAGCATGTTAAACCTATTCTTCCACTACACTGGGGTTGGGAGGGAGGGCGGCAAAGAAACTTGGAGCAAATTCTGAAGACTTTTGAGGGGCATCGTATAATGAAAATTATAGGTTTGGCAAATTTTTTGTATTTCAAAATTCCTTAAAACCTTTTTATTGTGCATCCTTATTGTTCTTGGTGGTGATTCATTATCATGTCAGTGGCAGTGATTATCGTTGTTTGACAATTAAACCGATCTTTTTAACGCCTCTGAGACAGACCTTTGCTGATTTCACCTCAGAAATGACTTGTACTTCCATTATTTGTTTCCTCGCTGGTTCTGGAGAGCACTGTGCGTGCATGGTGTGTTTTTATCTGTTAGCTTTTAGCGTACAATAGGCTGTAGCATTGCTTTTTAAAAATGGATACAGCGACCATGACCTCCTTTTAAACTGTTCAGTTTGTAAATTGTAATTCTCATAAAAAACGTTTTGCTGTTTGTGTGCCGTTTTAATGAATGGATGTCCTAAACTGGTCTATAAATAACTTTTGAACTTTCTGTCCAAATGTTAAGTAAATGTATGTTGTGCGATGTATGCTGGTGAAACAATTAAAACAAAAAAGCATCTTGTGTGATATGTATGATTTTATGACTTCAAAATAATGATATTCACACTTTAAATTTATAATTGTGTATTCCACGTACATATAGAGAATGCAAGGTTCATTGTGCAAGGTGAAGATGCAATGACCTATGCTAACTGCCCTGAAGTGATAGTGCTTCACAGTGCAGCTGCATTCGGCTATCTATCTTGATGGCTTTTGGTTGTGCCTTAAAGGCCTGTGGGTTACCACAGGTTTGGGTGGGGTTAAGTATGGCATTGAAGTTCTGAGAAGTGTTCCTCTAAGTCGGCCTTTACCCATAAATTACTGCAAACCAGAACCAGATGTTTGCTTCTCAGTGAGAACATTCTGTTAGGTCAGGTTATTTTCCTTGTGCACTCAGCCCCATGTCAAAATAGTCCCGGAGAGAGTCTGCCATTTTGTGCAATCTTGCCGATGGGATTAACTATATTTAAAATATTTTATCAAATAACTTACCATCTTTCCACTGGCTCAGTTGGTTGTGCGTTTGCCTCGGGTATGTGTTCAAGGTCCATCTCGAGACTTTGAGCTTCCTTCCTGTCTTAGACTTGCACTTCAATGCACAGCATTGTCAGAAGCGCCATCCTTCAGGGCGAGATGTTAAGAAGTGTTTCTGTTTGCGTGGTCAGATGGATGTTAAAGATCCCATGGCAGAATTTGGAAAAGAGAAGGGCGTTTATCCCGGCATCTGGACCAACAGTCTGAGATTTTAAGAAAAAATTGGTTTTCATTTTATGTTTGTGGGACTGAGTTCACATTCCAGCAGGTTGCAAAGTCCTTTTGTGGAGCAACAACCTTCTGACCCGGAGGTGAAAGTGTTTGATCAGCTGTGCATTTCCAGTATTTTCTGTTTATTTCCGAGGGAATAAGTACAGCATTAGGTGAAGGGTGAAAGTGTAATTTTACACAAACATCACGGACTATTCAGTGCTCTAGAACCTTCAAACTCCCAAAGAATTATCTAAAAAATACCTTTACAGTAAAAAATGTTTTGGCCGCTTAGTATCACAAGTGATTAATGTAACACGGGCTTTTATTCCAATACAAAGGCAAATAGCATTATCTTAAATACTCCGGTCAGCAAACAAACGAGAAAATAATAATCCTTGCATTTGATATAGCGCTTTATCACGTTGAGCCATAACATTGAGACGTCTCAAAGCGCTTCACAGAATATGTTGTCTATGGAATGATTGTGTATTTTTGTGGGCAAAACATGGCAACTAATTGACCGCAGCAGTGTCCCACAAACAGTCGTGGATTGAGAGACCAATTTATTACTTATTTATTTAATGGTTCAACAGTGTGGGCATCAGATGGTTTAAGATCAAACGTACCAAATTATCCCCTTTCCCCCCCCCCCCCCATCCCTAGTCTCCCATCATCAGTGACCAGCAGTCGGGAGGGGGGGGGGTGCGGGGCAGATATGCCCAGGATCAGGGAGCTGTTGCGAATTATAATAACGCCGCCTTTGTAAATATATATTTCACATATTTATGCGTGGAAAAAAATACACAAAGAAGTACTGGTGCAGAAATGCTGCATTCCTGATCCCGATAGAAATTAGCCGCTTTAGTGTCCGCGCCTTGACATTGGTGGGTGGGTTGTGGGAGAGGGAAGACAGAGAGACATCATGGACATTTAATCAATGGGGGAGAAGAGTGGAGGTGGGGGGATGGGGGGGGGGGTGGGGGGTCGAAATCAGTGCCTGGTCATTATAACGCTTAATACAGGTGTCCATCCAGTTAACCCAGTGATTGATCGCTGCAAAGTGGTGACCGAATGCATTCTGTTGGAAACGCAACAAAACAGTTGCAAAACGGTCCATAACCTCCTTTTTTTTTTACTTTGAAACTCCAGTTATTCCCACAGCAAAAAAGAGTTAAGTCCATTGAACAATCCGACGTCATTTCCTCTGAAAGTTGCCAGTTTTTGGGTGGTTGGTGTGTGTGTGTGTGTGGGGGGGGGGTGTGTGTGTGTGTGGGGGGTGTGTGTGTGTGGGGGGGGTGTGTGTGTGGGGGGTGTGTGTGTGTGTGGGGGGTGGGGTGTGGGGGGGGGGGTGTTGGGGGTGTAATGTAACCACCACCAGCAGTAGACGGCGCTTTCAAAGTTTTTGGAGTTTTTCTTTTTAAGAGAAGTTTAGGGCGAGTTGGTGTTTACAGGGGTGGAGCTGTGTGTGTGAGTGTGTGTGTGTGTATATGTATGTGAGTGGCGTGCTGTGTGGGTGTGTGTTTATAAGGGTAGGGTTCTGTGTGTGTGTGTGTGTGTGTGCAAGAGTAGAGTGTTATGTGAGTGTGTGTTTATTAGGGTAGAGTACTGTGTGTGTGTGTGTGTGTGTGAGGGTAGAGTACTGTGTGTGTGTGTGAGGGTAGAGTATTGTATGTGTGTGTGTGTGTGAGGGTAGAGTATTGTATGTGTGTGTAAGGGGGTGTGTACGCGTGTGTGTGTGTGAGGATAGAGTACTGTGTGTGTGTCTGTGTGTAAGGGGGTGTGTACGTGTGTGTGTGTGTGTGAGGGTAGAGTATTGTATGTGTGTGTAAGGGGGTGTGTACGTGTGTGTGTGTGTGTGTGTGAGGATAGAGTACTGTGTGTGTAAGGGTGTGTGTACGTGTGTGTGTGTGTGAGGATAGAGTACTGTGTGTGTGTGTGTAAGGGGGTGTGTACGTGTGTGTGTGTGTGAGGGGGTGTGTACGTGTGTGTGTGTGTGAGGGTAGAGTACTGTGTGTGTGTGTGCGCACGTGTGTGTGTGTGTGGGGGGGGGGGGTGGGGGGGGTGGGGGGGGGAGTGGTGGGGGAGATGTTAACAGCATTAAGTTGGGGGAAAGGAGTTCGCTCACTGGTCGGGGAGTGAGGGCGACCTGGTCGGATTGTACAAGTTTTCTTCCATCTCATCATTCACCCCCATCCCTACCCCCAACGACTCTCTCTCTCTCTCTCTCTCTCCCCCCCTCCCACCTCGGGGAGCAATGGTCTGCGGATATGGGGCTCTGCTTGGGGTCGGATGCGAGCGCTGAGGAGCGCGAGGCGCGGATACGCAGCGAGAAAATCGACCGCGCGTTATACGAGTTCGCCAAACAAGAGTTCAACGTAGTGAAAATCCTACTTCTGGGTAAGTAGAAACTCACACACACACTCACACACACTCACTCATTCACACACACACACTCATTCATTCATACACTCATTCACACACTCACTCATTCATTCACACACTCATTCATTCACACACTCACTCATTCACACACTCACTCATTCACACACTCACTCATTCATTCACTCACTCATTCATTCATTCACACACTCACTCATTCATTCACACACTCATTCACACACCCACTCATTCATTCACACACTCATTCACACACTCACTCGTTCATTCACACACATTCATTCACTCACTCACTCATTCACACACACTCCTTCACACACATACACTCATTCACACATACACTCACTCACTCATTCACACACACACTCATTCACTCACTCACTCATTCAGACACACACTCATTCACATATACATTCACTCATTCACACATACACTCACTCACTCACACACACACTCATTCACACATACACTCACTCATTTACACATACACTCACTCATTCACACATACACTCACTCACTCATTCACACACACACAGTCTGGCTGCTAAACCAGGGAAAGGGAAGGTGGAATGTGTGACCTGACAGTCCAAACCCGGACTGTCTTCAAAACTACCCCCTAAACTTTCCCACTGGTTTATATTTGTTTCTACTGTAAATGGACTAATGTTAATGTTATGGGTTGGGATTTTTTTTTGCTTTGATTTTTTAGGAGAATTTAATTTACTCCCTTTTTTAAAAAAAAGAAATCCTCCCCCCTGTAAATGCAGTTACCTTAAGTCTGACCTGATGCTGCCTGCTCTGAAGGTATTCTTATGTTTTCTTTATATAAATATATGTATTAATGTTCTAAGTTGCACCGCTGCGGATGATTTGTATGTTGCTTTTATGGGGCGTGTAACTGGGATCACAGGCGAGCGGAGAATAACTTGTGTATTGTAAGTATAGTAAATAAATAGACACGTGTGTGGGGGTTCACCCCCCACCAGATTGGGGTACAGCAGAGTCGTTCTTTGGGGGCTAAGGTTAAGTTAGCACCGACCCACCCCCCAAAAAAATGTGGGGCTTTTAAATTAGGAGGAACAAGAACCAAGCAAAAGCTTCTAGTGACAAGCGAGTGTATTTGTGACATGACCTCATAGAGTTTGGTCATCAAACCCCCAAAAACCACACACACAACACACACCAGAATCGACCTCATCTCTTTAAAAGCCAATTACTTTCCAATTTCGAGTTAGATTGTGATGTCCCAATCTACCATCACATCGTTGATCAAATCTCAGTTGCTCTCTTTATTGAATAAAACCAGAGCCAGTTTGGCCAGCCCCAGCCCAGCCAATAAAAGAAGCCTTTTGTGCAAGAGGAAAAAGTTTCATCTGACAAACTTGCTGAGGTTTTTTTTTTAAAAAAGAGAGGAGGATTGTTGCTTCTGAAGGCAAGTTTTAATGGAAGGCTTGAGAGTCCTACTGTAACCAATTAAAGCTATATTGTACACTATTTTCGACTGAACTCTTCCTCCCCCACTGCCCCTTTTCTGACTGCCATGCTAAGTGGTCGTTAGTGCTATGTCGGGAATATCCAAGGGCGTCATTGTACAACTGCTCCGTGGTGACTGGGAAGCTGAAAATGAATGGGAAGAAAAAAGGCACCAGCCATAACCGTCCTTGCGTTAGACACGGTGCCTGATCCCACAAAAACGTCTCCAATAATAACAATCTTTTCATTTGGTATTAGCCCCTTATCACGTCAGAAGGACATCTCAAAGCATTTCACAGAATTTACTGTGAAATAAAGTGACTGCAGAGGAACGTTATCTGTGAGGTTGCCTCACCTTTGCTGAGGGAACTAACTAACTCCTCGAGTCTTGAACACACAACCACTAGTGTTGCCATTGGCCCAGTGCAGAATCTAGGAGATGTCCTTTGTATGTAAACTCTTCAAAGAACTTCTCGACCTTTCTCCAGGTGCAGCGGAGAGTGGGAAGAGCACTCTGGTCAAACAGATGAAGATCATCCACAGTCATGGGTTCAGCGATGAAGAACTTGCAAGTTTCAAGGTAACGACTCAGAGAGAGAGAGAGAGAGAGCGAGAAAGAGAGGGAAAAAAAAGACTCAGTGTGACTCAGGTTCGATGAGGAATTCCTAATGTTAGTAATGACGATCCTTGTGTTTGTTCCAGTGCATCAAAATACCTCCAAGCGTGTGTGTCACTGGGAATTGCTGTCAAGTGTAGTGGCTGTGATTTCAGGGAATTCTTGGCAGCCTTAAATAGCTGTAAGTGGCTTCCACTCCCACATGGCTTTTCACCAATCCTGGAATGTCAGTGTTGTTGCATTGCCAGGAATGTTGAGCGAGGTAGTCAGGGGGGAGGGGTACAGTTTTCACGTCAGGACGACGTCTCAAAGCATTTGACAGAGTTGACTGTGAGGCGTGGTTAATGTATATTTTGTGGGCTAAGAGATGAAACATGGAGCAGATTTTCACTGGGGGTGGGGGGAGGGGGAGGAATAAAGCCAGGAAGGTGGAGAACTCGGTAGTCTGAGGCTCTGAACCAGCTGCGTCTCATAAACAGCGGGAGTGAGGCACGGGAACCGCAGCCCGTCACTTTGCTTCCTGATTAAAAGTCTTTTCAAGCCCCCAGGGAACGTTTGATGCAAGTCCAGGTTAGTGAGAGTTTGTTGTAACCTGTAAAACAAAACCATCGCCACATCAGTCACTGAGGGTCATCAGTTCCCACTGTTTAATTTAAACTATCCCCACACCCACCCCCAGCCATAATAATAGTAATCCTTGCATTTGATATAGCGCCTTATCAAGTCTTTGAGATGTTTCAAAATGCTTCACAGGATGTACTGTAAAGCGTATTATGTACAATATCCAACATATGTAATACCTACAAATAATATATTATTTATAATACCTATCATACCTTCCCTTGAGTTTAGAAGGTTGGGTTATCTAATTGAGGTGTTTAAAATGACAAAGGCCATTCAGGAGTGAAATCTGGAAACACTTTTTCCATACAAAGGCCAGTGGAAATCCAGAACTCTCCATCCCCTAAAAGGCTGTGGACGCTGGATCAATTGAGATTTTCAAGACTGAGGTCGATCGATAGATTTTTATTAGGTCAGGGTATCAAGGGATATGGGATGAACGCGAGTAAATGGAGTTGAGATACAATCAGCCTTGAGCTAATAAGATGGCGGAACAGGCTCGAGGGGCTGATTGGCTTATCATGGACGAGGGGTGGGGGTAGGGGTGAGTGAGAAGGCTGAAAGAGACAGCGTAGATGGAGAGATGCTCTGTGTTCATTAGTGAGGAAGGAGTATTTAACATTTCCTTATTCCACACACCTCTGTTTTTACCCAGCAGTAAGTAGGAACCCAGTTATTAGTCAATTGGCGGAATCGCTTTCCAGGGGCAATAATCCGTCCCCCCCAAAATTTGGTCCCTTAATCCACGACTCTGGGATACTGCTGTGCGCAATTGGCTGCCGCGTTTCTCTCACAAAATACACAGTCAATCCACTTTACAGTATATCCTGTGAAGCACTTTGAGACATCTAGAAGACGTGATGAGGCGCTATATCAAATGCAAGGATTATTATTATCTGGAGATTCCCTGGTTCCTAATGTTGGCTGAGAGCCAGCTCCAGGGTGAATCATCGTCTGAGTTTCATAGCAACTCGTTCCACTACATTCCAGGTCCTGTGATTTTGAAGAATGATTGACAGCTCCTTGTTTGCATGTGCAGGCGGACAGACAGACACACGCAGACACAAACACACTATAAACACACCCACGCACATATATGTAATGTATAAAACATATATACACACACGCACAACCCCCTCCCCTTTCCAACACAGTAACAGCGAGCGAGCTTGAACATAACCACTAAGCAGTGATCTTCGAGTTATTTATTTGAACAAAGAAACAAAGGGAGTGAGGTCAGGGGAGCTGTTGTACACCGAGGGGTGTTGGAATGTGGAATGCCTGAGCTGGAAGTGCAGTTAGTTGAAGCACAATCCACGTGAGCTTTTAAGAGGGGAATTAGCAGAAATATCCAAAAAGATAGCACTTTGCGGCTAAAAACAGCGATGCGCTTTGAGACGTCCTCCCAACGTGAAATGCGCTGTATCCAATGCAAGGATTATTATTAAATAGGTGGGGCGCGGGAGGTGAGGGAGACCGAGGGGGAGAAGGTGGGAGATTGGGACTAAGTGCAGAGCTATTGAATAGAGCACAAACACAAGGGGCTGAATGGCCTCTTGTCCTGTAACGTTCCTTGCTTTACTAGAAAGCCAGAGCTCAACTATAATATGGTAAGAGTCTTTAACTTGTTGGGTGGGGCTGATTGTGGGTGTGTAGGGTGCCCCCCCAGTGGCCTGGTTGGCGACATTGTGTGGCTTGAACCAAGCTTTAGAGGGCTCCAGGTTTGCGAACTCAGCATTGGTCTGGGCTGATTGTTAGATGGTTAACTCAACCAGGGACCTGGGGAGTGTTGGCCAGGACGCAGCGAGGGAGGAGGATCCTTCTTCCATTTCCTAGAATGTCACAGTGACGGGATCTCTGGGGAGTTGCGTTGTGTGGTAAATGAGAGCTGCTACGCCCAGTTGAATAGAGCGTGTCAGAACTTGTGCTGTCCTGAATGTAACAGTATAACAGGTTATAATGGAAACCTGTGAGCTGCAATCTCTACACCTGTTTTGTTGTCAAAGTTTTGTGGCGTCAAACCACAACCTGTGTAGGTGGAATGCACGGAACTCTGTTTGGTTTGGATACTCCCATCTTGAAGGCCTGCACATGGCCTGAAGCCGTTTCCACGGTTAGTTCATGGGATAATTGAGGAGCTGGCATTGCTCGGCACCTCAGGCCAACACTGGGTCTCCGGGGGACAATGGCTGTATTTTTCCTGGTGTCGGGGTGGAGGAGAAAGAGGGGTTTTGTTGGTGGTGGATTCTCCTGTCATGTGGCTTTGCTTGTGGTTTGGGCTCGAGGGACCGGCAGAGGTCAGGCGCCAGCCCTCCCCCCCTCGTGTCCCTGTTGGAGACGGAGGGCAAACCTCGTGTCTTTACCAAAGTCAATGGGTAAATATCCAAAGTGATAAATAACCCAGTGTCTGTAACACCAACAACAAGATTTCATTTATAGAGCGCCTTTCACGTCGGGAGGACGTCCCAAGGCGCTGGACAGTTACAGCCTTAAAGTGCTTCACAGGCAATCGCTGCCAAGCGAAATAACTGTGTGCGCTGCGGGAGAAACTCGACAGACAGTTTGCGCACAGAAATGTCATGAAGTGAGCGAACAATTTATGGCCGGGTGGGGCAGAGAGAAACTCCCTTTTCCACTCGTTCAGCTGATGCTATCGGCCGTAACTCTTTGCGATTCTCATCTCTACAAAGGTTCTGGTTTATTCTCTGCCCTCACCCCCCCCCCTTTTCGCTCACAGCCGGCTGTTCTGGACAATCTCCTGAGTTCCATGAAGTTTGTGCTGCAGGGCATGGGAATCCTCCGGATCAACCTCGCCATCCCCAGGAACACGGTAAGAGCTCGGGTGGAGGAGGCGCAGGGGAGAGGGGGGCGAATTTCCCATCAGAGGAATCAATCCGAGGCAGAGACTTGTTTATTTTCTTCTTCCTTCCCTCCCCACCTGATTTGTGGAGTCCTGTAGCTCAGTGGTTGGAGTTCAATTCCAGGCAGAGGGCGAAACCTTGGGCAAGTTTCCTTACTCCACACAGAGCCTAATAATAATCCCTCGAAAACCAAAAACAATAATAAATTGGTCATTTTCAATCTACGACTGTTTGTGGGACATTGCTGTGCGCCATTGGCTGCCGCGTTCGCCCACAAATATACAGTCAATTCACTTTACAGTGTGTTCTGTGAAGCGCTTTGGGACGTCCTCCCGACGTGAAAAGCGCGATATCAAATGCAAGGATTATTATTATTATAATGAAAATATACCTGCAGTGACCCGATTACCTCCAGAAGGTGGCAGGAACGCTTCAGTTATCAGCTGGTAGATTTTCTCAGTGAGTCAGGACCAGCTGGAGAGAAACCTGGCTCTGGAGTCAGTTACAACTTTCCTCTGGTTCCTGCAGTCCTGGACCTCAGTCCTTCTGGTGGTGGGTGGTGCGGAGAGAACAGCCCCAGTTAATAAGGACACAGGAATTGCCAGACGAAAGACGACCAAGGTCCATCCAGTTTGCCTTCCACGATCCTGGCAGCCGCTGGCGCATTAAAGCTGGTAGACCCTCGTGTCAGTGCAAGAGCCCGTTTAGCCCCAATCTCTCGCTTGAAATATTTTTTTTTAATGTTTGGGGCTGGGGGTGAAGGGTTGGGAGGGGTGGGAGTTGGATGAGCCTGTGCCTGGTTTCGCCCCCCCCCCCCCAACCCCACGACTCTGACTCCCGGCTGGTTTGTTTGTGTTTCAGACTCACGCGCAGACCGTGCTGTCGTGCGGTCGTTGCTTTGACGAGGATGAGACGCTTTTGCCGTTCGTTGGTCACGCTCTGCGCTGCCTGTGGGCGGATCCCGCGGTCCGGCTGGCGGCCAGTCGCGGCTACGAATACGAGCTGAACGACTCCGCCCACTAGTGAGTGACTTCCTCCCCTCCTGCGTGGATCTGTCGTCGTCGATTCCTGATCAGAAAGTGTGTCAGCTCAGCCCATTGGTAGCGCTCTCTCTCACCTCCAAGTCAGAAGGTTGTGGGTTCGAGCCCCCACGTCAGGAATTGGAATCGCACCGTCTAAGCTGACGCTCCAACGCAGCACTGGGGGGTGGTGGAGGGGGGGTGGAACGTTAAAGGTCCCGCGGCGCTATTCCAAAAGAGAAGGGAGTTTCTCTCTCCTGGTGTGTTGGCCAATAATCCCCAACATAACATCTGTCACTCACTCCATGGCTGTTTTGTCCGGGACATTGTTTGTGGCACGTTGCTTGGGTGCAAAACTGGCTGCTGCGTTTCGCCCATTAAAATACACAGTCACTCCACTTTACAGTATGTCCCGTGAAGCGCTTTGGTGCGACTCGATGACGTGATAAAAGCGCTGTATCGAAATGCAAGGATTATTATTATGATTCTGTCGGAGCTGCCAGTGACATTTGTGAAACAATGTGTAATTGGAACTCGCGGGCAGTGTCTGGGTTGTAATTTTGGAGATGAAATGAGCTAATTACTGCCTTTGACATTAAGCAGGGTCCAGGGAGGTGCAGGTCACAGCCCGCTGATTGTGAAAACATTGGTCCTTTTATACTCCTTAAACAACCGTGTGCCATTTACACTGACTCATAGGTGACACGAGCTTTGCAGAGGTTGATATGATTATCACACGATCACTGAGCAGTTTGGCCGGAGGGGGTGGGGGTCCCAGTGGAGAAGGGGTCCTTTCTGGTAACTACATAGTGCGGAGGATCAATGTGTTTGTGTGTCCCGGGGGGTGGCTTTGGTCAGTCAAATCTCCTCACAGGGAATTACATAACTCCAATAATCCTGGCATTCAATATCATGACTTTACTGTCAAAACACCTTGATTGCTGTCAAGTGTAGTGACTGTGGGTTTTGCAGACAAACATGACAGCAATGTCCCGCAAACAGCTACGAAGTGAGCAACCAATTTGATTTTGCGGCATTGTTGGCCAGGACATCTGGAGAGAGGAACTTCTCTTCTTCATGGATCTTTAACGTGTGTGTGTGTGTCTTTGTCTGTGTGGTGTTTGCATGTGGGGTGGGTGTGTGTTTGTGTGGTGGGGGGTGTGGGCGGGGGGAGAGGTGGGTGTGTGGTGGGTGGGGGGGCGTTGGGCAGTGTCGGAGGCTGGTATCCCCCATTTACTGGCTCTCGCTCCACTTGCCATCTGTAGAATATACTACGGGCGGAATGTATTTGGTGTGCAATGGGAGGCGAGGGACCAGCCCGAGGGAGGGCGCAATATTAAAAGCTGGAGTGGAGGAGGCTGGCAGAGCGCTAACGCGATTGCGAGCTCGAGCTGCTGTCTCTCGTTACCCCTGAGACGCTGTGTGCAGTGACTCACTTTACAGATAAACATACGCTTCCCAGTCCAGGCTGTGTGTCTGTCTCCCACCCCCATCCCCACCAGCGAAAGTCCCTGTAATGACCAGAGAGCGAGCCAGCCCTCAGATACCCTCCACCTTCACATTACACTGAGTCGGGTCCTGTAGTTCAATGGTTAGAGCACTCGCTTTGCAAGCGAAAGAACTGAGTTTAATTCCAGGCAGAGGGCAAAACCTTGGGCAAGTTTCCTTACTCCACACAGAGCCTAATAATAATCCTCCAAAACCAAAAACAATAATAAATTGGTCATTTTCAATCTACGACTGTTTGTGGGACATTGCAGTGCGCAATTGGCTGCCGCGTTCGCCCACAAATATACAGTCAATTCACTTTACAGTGTGTTCTGTGAAGCGCTTTGGGACGTCCTCCCGACGTGAAAAGCGCTATATCAAATGCAAAGATTATTATTATTATTTTATCGCCGTTGATTGACGGGGAGGATATGGCATTAGCAGGAATATTGTGCGTCTACTCTCTCGGAGTCGGGAAACGGATTAGGGTCCAGCACAAGTGTCAAACCCGCTGATCGCTGTGACGCAATCGTCAAGCCCTGGGGAGGGGAGGGGTTTTAAAGCGATGCTCGTCACGTCTTGAGGGTGGGTGGGGAGGTGACGAGGGTTGGGGAGGACGGTGGGTTTCTCTCCCGTCTGGTCTGTTTGTCTCGGGCGTGTTTTCTGTGGAAAACAAACACGTTTGACGAGACAGAAAAACATCACCGGATCTTCCTTTTATCTCAGCAAATGGTTTCTTGGTTGCTGTCACTCTTTCCTTACCCCCCCCCCACCCCCACAGCCAAGATATTTATATCCGCGATCAACACCCCACTCCACCACAGCCTCCTGACACTCCGCGAGTGGGTGTTGGATGATGGGAGGTGTCGCCAGTGTTGATTGTGGTCGGCACAGACGGCTGTGGTTACGGTCTGGCTGATCGCTGAGCAACAGGCATGGGCTGCACTTTGCCACAAGGAAAGAGGACAAAACATCCTAAACCCCCTCTGCCCCCTCCCCCCACCCCAACCCCGCTCTCTCTCCCTCCGCCGCCCGCCCCTTCATAAAACAAGCCAAAACCTGACAGGTGTCAGATCAGATTTGAGGCTGAGATTGACGTCTGTCGCTCGTCCCTCTGCCCGGAGCTCTGCTTAATGTCAATTTCGGGCTCCAGCGCGGAGACTGACAGACGGAACACCAACATCGCGGCTGAGCCAGGAATCGTGTCCCGGGGAGCGAGGAACCCAGCAGGTTGGGGGTGGGGGGGCTGATGGGTGGAGGAGCTGAAGATTCTCTGTCTCTCCGCTCTCCTTTTTTGCCCATTTTATCTTAATAAATGCGCACCTATGCATTGCTGGGGTGGGGGGTGTTGCATTGACGGAGGTGCCATCCTTCGGATGAGACATTAAACCGAGTTCCCCGTCTGTCTGCTCAGGTGGATGTTAAAGATATTGCGGCGCTGTTCATGTAGAGAAGGGAGTGACTGTATTTTGTAGGCAAACACCGCAGCGCAATTGCACCCGGTTTCTCTCTCCCCAGTTGGTGACCTGGCCAACAATCTCCCTCGCGCTCACCCTGCGGCTGCGCAAAATTGGCTGCCGCATCTTGTCCTCAGAATAAACAGTCACTCCGCTTTGCAGCGTGTCCTGCGAAGCGCTTTCGAGACGTCTCGACGACGTGATAAAGGCACTGTGTCAAATGGAAAGATTATTCCTTTGTATTTGTGTGTGTTTTTTCCCCTCCCGCAGTTTCTTCGTAAACATTAACCGGATCACGGCTCCGGGTTACAGACCCACCCAGACTGACCTCCTGCGGGTCCGACTCCGCACAGCAGGCGTCATCGAGACTCAGTTCAAAATCAACAACTTGATTTTCAGGTGAGAAGATGGCACTGAGTCTGTGGGGTGGGGTGGAGTGGGGGGGGGTGCGCGAGGTGGAAGGTCCTGTAATGTAGTTCGATTCCCAAGCCGGGCAAAGCCATAGGCAAGTTTCCTTGTTGGTCGATTGGCAGATCGCTTTCCGGGGGTAATAATCCCTCCAAAATAATAATAATAATAATAATAAAATTGGTCACTCAATCCACGACTGTTTGTGGGACACTCCTGTGCATCATTGACTGCCGTGTTTTGCCCACAAAATATACAGTCAATTAACTTTGCTTTTGCCCCCCACACACCCCTCTCCTCACCTCGCTTCTTCCCCCCCACTCCCACCCCACTGTGGCTCCTGTCTCACGTTCCACCAGTGATAATGAAGGAAGCTGAAGCTCTTATTAACGCTTGTGGTGCGAGGCCAGCAACAGCTCACAACGTCCCTGCAGTGAGTCAGCCTTTAATAGTGAAATAATTACTAGAGAGAATGGAGGGTAAAATAGCCTCGGGGCTGATACAGTGTCGGTCACACCGAGTGTAGAGGACGTTTGCTGTCCGAGAGGTGACTTGTTCCACCCACTGCGTTTCACATTTACTCTTTTTTTATTTCTTTTTCCTCTTCTTTTTCTTTCTATTCTTTCTTCCTCTCCCTCCCTCTTTTTCTCTCTCTTTCTCTCTCTCTCTCTCTCGGCTTTCTCTTTTCACACTTTCTGTTTTCTCCCTCGTTCTTTCTGATTCTTTCCGTTTTCCATTCTCTTTATTCTGTCTCACTTTTATCTTTTCTTTCATCCTCACACACTCGCACTCTCTCTCTCTCTCTCTCTCTCTCTGACCCCCTCACCAGCCAGTTGCTGTGGCGGAGGAATGGGGGCTGGAGCTTTGGCGGTTGGGAGGAGAGGGTTTGAGGGAGAAGTTGTGTGTGTGTGTGTGTGTAAGTGTGGGGGGGGGGGGTGTGGGGAGTGGGTTCAGTGTCGGGCAGTGCTGGGGTGCCAGGCTGACCCCCAGTGTTTATTTCTATCTATATTTGCTGCTGTCATACAGTATCTCAGGCTGAGAAGGTCAGCAGTAATTGAAGCTGGCAGCTCCCCTCGGCAGTGATGGACGGGCTTCGTGCCGCCCGCCTGTCTCTCCACTCCGCGCTAATGACTGTAATGAGAAGGTAACTTGTTTTCACAGCCTGAACCTGCGAAGCTGTAATTGTGGTCGCTGGTGACCCCAGCGCACGGCTTACCTTTCTGTGAGCGAAGCCTCCATTCCTCCCTCCCCCTACCCCCACGGTTGATCACAGCCCGACACTGTAACATTCACTGTCCGCCTTGTGGAGCCCTGACCCCCCACCCTCACCGTGCACCTCGCACTCACTCACTCGCTGACAATCTGTCTGTCATTTCTCTCACCCTCTCGCTTTGTCTCGTTCTGTCTCTCTTTTCTCTCCGTCCTCTTTCTCGCCCTCGCTCTGACTCTCTCCCTCTGTCTCTCGTTTGCGCTCTCTCTCTCTCTCGCTCTGTCTCACTCTCACCATCTATCTCTGACTTTCTTTCTCTCTGTCACACTCACTTTGTTATTACTGATAATAATCCTTGCATTTGATATAGTGTTTTACCACCTCAAAGGGCTTCCCAGAATATACCGTAAAGTGGAGTGACTATGTATCTTGTGGCAAAAATTGTCGATGTTGAGGGGGAGTATGACAGGATGTTGGGCTCAGCAACAAAACAAAAGGATGTGGCTCACCCCCTTTAACCATTAAACCCAGAGATAATGGGATTGATTGAATCCGCATTTATTAAAACTTTGATTTGATTTCTCGCTGCTGATGATGGGCAGATTTTAATCTCTATGTTGTAAGAAACTCAAACTCAAATCAGATCATCTCCTCATGGGGAATAAGTTAAACACCGACTCCATAATGCCTGTAAAAATACTACCTTCAAAAGAAAAAGAAATAATAATAATTTGGTCACTCAATCCACGACTGTCTGTGGGACTGCTGTGTGCAATTTGCTGCAGTGTTTCGCCCCCAAAAATCCACTTTACAATGTATACTGTGAAGCACTTTGAGACGTGCTAAGGTGCTTTAACAAATGCAAGGATTATTATAGATATTTGCATGTTTATTATATGTAAAGTGTAATGTGTATCTGGATACTGTGTGTGTTTAGACACATTCTGTATTGTATTATATATTGATTTTGTACGTGTACACAGTATTTCGAAACCTTACAAAAGGTCCTGGAAATGCCGCAGGGAGTTTGGTGATTAACAATTAATGGGCAGGATTAGAAGTTGATTTGAAATTCTTTTTAATGGCGGGATAAGGATTACTCATTTCTGCAATGGAATTAAACGTTCCGCTTTACTGCACACTGACGCAGTCTGTACAAATGAACTGTCTTGTTCGCTCCCTCTTTAGCCCTCTATAGGTTAATGTTATTCGGATGTGGGGGAAGAACTCGTTTCTTTATCATTTCGTGATTCTTTTTCTCTCCGTCTCAAGGTGAGAGATGTTCGTTTCGGCAGCGGAAACTTTCCTCGTTTCACTCGTTTTGATCGAGACGTTAAACCGAGGGCTCGTCTGTCTGTCCAGGCGGACGTTAAAGATTCTGTGGCGCTATTCGAAAAGAGACAGAAACTCTGAAAAGGGAGAGTTTCTTTCTCCCGGTATCCTGGCCGACAATCCTCCAAATAAAATTATTCACTCACTCCGTGGCTGTTTGTGGGACACGGCGGTGTGCAATAGTGCTGCCGTGTTTGCCTACAAAATACACAGTCACTCCCTTCTTTTCAAACAGTGCCACAGGATCTTTAATGCTTACCTGAACAGGAGCTTGGTATAACATATAATATATGTATTATATGTTAAATTGTGTGTGTGTATGTGTGTGTGTATATATATATGTTAAAAAAAATCTCATCAAAGGACAGCACCTCTGACAATGCAACACACCCTCAGGGCTGCATTGGAGCATCATCTGTGAATCCAAGTCCCCGACGTGAAGGCTCGAACCCGCAATCTTAGTCACAATAAAAAAAATAATCCTTATGTTTGCTATAGCGCCGTATCACGTCTTCGAGACGCCTCAAAGCGCTTCACGGGATATACTGTAAAGTGGAGGGACTGTGTATTTTGTGGGCGAAATCCTCTGGCTGGCAGGAGAGAGCGCTACCCGCTGCGCCCGGCTGACACCCAAACAGTCGTGTTTCCTCTGTTTCCCAGGATGTACGACGTGGGGGGGCAGAGGACGGAGCGCAGGAAGTGGATCGGCTGTTTCGAGGAGGTGCGAGCGGTGCTGTACGTGGCCGCACTGAGTGGATATGATATGACACTACTGGAGGAGCTGACTGTGGTGAGACCCTCGTTCCCCCCTCTCTCACCACCCCTCCCCGCCCCCCCCACCCCACCTCACTCCACACCTCCCTCGCTAACACACATTCCCAGCAGGGGTGTCCTGTGGGGGGCTGCGGGTGTGGGGGGAGGGAGTGAGATGGAAGGAAAAGTGATCAGATATGATATAAAAATTACAGGCTATAATTTCCTCCGCTCAATGCTAATGGTATTTAACCCATTTCAAACACAAAAGGCTTGGACAAGAAAAGCAATTATCGTTTGTGATTAATATTCATGGGGCTGAGTTGTAAATGAAGTGAAGTGTCGTTCGACTAACTCCCTGTTCAGGGTTTATTTACATTGCTCTTTTTCTCTCTCTCCCCCCCCTCCCCCCACCCCTCTCTCTCGCGCAGAATCGACTACAGGAGAGTTTGAAGCTTTTCTCTTCCATCTGCAATAATGTTTTCTTCAGGAGCACATCTATGGTACGTAGTTCAGGCGTGAAGGATTCGTGCAGTCCAGGCAATTGCTCCAGTGCAGTGAAGGGGGGGAAGGAGCACTGCATGGATGTTGATGTCATCCTTCAGGAGGGATGTTAAACCAAGGTCCCGTCTGCGCCTGTTCATGTGAATGTTCGCCATCCACATGTCACTCCGCTTTGACAATGTGACGGGGGGCTCTGCCAAATGCAAGGATTATTAATATTATTATCTCACCACCCTAATGGAAAAGAGAAGGGAGTTTGTCCCAGTGTCCTCCTGTACTCAGAACAGAGCTGGCTTTGAGGCGATGTACTTTTGCCTCTCTCCACCCCCCCCCACACCCCCCCACACACACACACACACACACACTCGTTCACCCATACTCTGGGTTGCCCCAAAGCCTTGGCTCTTGCCAAACTGTGGCCAATACCCTCCAGGAATCAGTTGAGCAGTTAAACACCCTCCCTCCGGGAAGAGAGAGTGTATTCTGATCCAGGCACAGGAGAATTTCCTTGAGGGGAGCCTGCGTGATATAAGCGGAACTTGGGTTTGCTTTGGAGACCCTCCAGTGATGGACTGCCACGTGTGTCAGGCTCCCAGCTAACCATGTGCAGAGTGAAGTTACCCCCACCCCACAGGGAGATTGCCTCTCCCCCCCCCCCCACCCTACCCCAGGCACCAAGCAAATGAGTCTCCTCTGGAGAGCTGCTCAGAGCCGCTCACCTCTGACCTGCAATTAGCCTGGTTCCACTTCGAACTCCAGTGGCTGCCGTTTGTCATTAACTCGGAGCCAATAATGTCCGGCAGACGGTAATTTTTCGTTCTGCCTGGCAACCCCGCTTACAGTTCCCGTCTATCTGAAGGTTCCCTTTAATTGGTTCCATTTACTGCCTCTAATAACATATTATTCAGTGACAAATCTCTCCAAAGGGCTGAATAATCTCGGAGATTTCGCCTTCTATCTGGACAGCCTCTTGCCCGCAGGAGAGAATCAGTCCTTTTGTCCGCTGACAAATCTTGTCTGTTTCTCTTAACGATCGATGCGGCGTTTGATTCATTGATTGATATTTTTTTGTTGTTGTTTCTCTATAAAATAAAAAAAACAATGGAAATGTTATCAGTTGGACTCCGGGCGAGCGGGTGGGGGTCTGTTTAATCTGTCGCGCTCGTTTTTATTTTCATTTATTTTCGTTTTTTTTTCAAAAAATCGCTTTCAGATTTTGTTCCTGAATAAAATCGATCTTTTCCAAGAGAAGATTTTACATTCCGAGAGGCATCTCCGGCTGTATTTCTCCGAATACAGAGGTACCAAACATTCGTCTTCTCCACACACACACACGCACACACGCGGACTATTGTTACTATTGCTGTTGCTGTTGTTACTAATATTATTATTACTCTTACTAAGAGTAAGTTGCTTTTTTACCAGCATTATTGTTTCTATTGTTAATGCCGTCGCTACCATTACTGCTACTAATTGCTGTTGATATTGTTCACCACTATTGCTCGTGCTGCTGTTACTCTTGTTCGTTGTTGCCGTTACTCTCGGTGGTGGTTCTTAGCGCGACTCTTGTTGCTCGTGTCCCTCGTGTGACTGTGAGTGTCGGTGTGACTGGTCGTGTTACTCGTGTGACCATCAGTGCTATTGTTGCTCTCGCTGTGCCAGGCGCTGACTGTGATGTAGATGCCGGCGCCCGGTTCGTGGCCAATCAGTTTCTCAGCCTGAACAGGAACGTGGCCAAGCTGGTTTATCACCATTTCACCACGGCGACCGACACCTCCAACGTGCAAGTGGTCTTCCAGGTCGTCATGGATACCATCATCAAGGAGAACCTCGAGGCCGTTTCTCTGCTTTAATGAAGTTCGTCCCTTTCCCGCCCATCAAAGCGAGCGGCCCGGCAACTCTCCCCGAGATGTGCGTGCGTGCAAATCCACAGGCCGCTAGTGAGTACGCACTTGCGTGCGCACTGGCGCACCTTTTTTTTTTCTTTTGGTCAGCCGGGTGGGCGTCTGACACGTGCGGAAACTCCTGCTTAAGAGTCTCCAAACCCACCTGAGAATTCCGTGCATCCCACCGACAGTATGGAAATTCCAGAGAGAGAGATTATTGGAATGGAATGTGCGCTCTCTCTCTCTCTCTCTCTCTGTCTCTGTCTCTCACTGGAGGGACACCTCCCGCTTACCTGATTCCGGAGAGTACTCGGAGCAGGTTGGCAAGAGCCAAGGCTTGGGGGAGCCCAGAGCGCACACTGCACAGTCACACCCTCCGTACTGTGCACACAGAGAGAACGGCTGCATCAGCTTTGCTCCTGGAGGGATTGTGAAATCCGATTGATGTGATGGATATTTTATTAACGGAGGTGTGTGGGTGGGTCGGGGTATTTTCACGCCTCCCGCCAACCCTATCCCCGTTTGCTGCAAGTTATATAATTGACCATCCATTATACTGTTGCCTAAGTTTTCAAAACTTCTGAAAACTTCTATCTCAAACATTGCATTCCATAGTCTTCCCTCCCCCACACACACAGACACGCACACACACACACCACCCCTTCAAATTCCTTGCTTTTTTTTAAAGGAATTTCATCTGTAAGTATGTTCATTTTTGTGTTTAATTAAGTAATTAATTAAAAATAACTGAAGGTTGTTCAGATGTTTGTTTGATTTGGAGAGTGACACTTTGAGTGCGGAGTGAAATTCAGAATAAAATGAAAACTTATCTATGACTGAAAACACCCTGTAAAATATATATATGTACTGTACATATATGTTTATGTGTGTGTGTATGAGTGCATATTATATATATATTATATATGTGTGTATGTCTGAGGTGTGTGCGGCTCAGCCCAATGTTCTAAAGCAACACAGGAGAAGGATTTAAAGTATAGATCTCTTTCAATTAACCATAGAAATCCTCGCCAGCTGGCTCTGTAAACCCGTTCTCCTATTTTAACCAAATAACTGTTCAGGTTTTCCTTTCCAGGTTGTGCAAATATTCTCTCTCTCACCGTTTCCCCTCTCAATGTATGACATAGATTCCCCGGGGGTACAGTAACCGGGTCTGTCTGTCTCTCTCTCTCTCTATCTGCCGGGGCTCGGGGCTTACTCTGACCATGTGAGTATCTTTGGCCACTTTTGCTGACTTTTTTATTCATTTGTACATTTCGTGTGTCAATATCCCCGCTGTGAATCACACACTTTTGTCGTTGAGATAAATAGATAACCACTGTGAGAGAAGGAGTGACTGTGAGAGGGAGTGAGTGTGAGGGAGGGTGGGAAGGAGTGTGATTGAAATAAACAATCGAAGAAAAATACCAGGAGTCAAAGACGCATTTTTTAAGGCTGAAATATAATTCACATTTCATTTCCAGAGACCAAAAAAAAACTCACAGAATCACGAAATCATTCCTACAACTTAAATACAGCGAATTTTGCTTTATACACAGAATGAGGTACTTTTTTTAATATATCATGATCGATCATTAAAGGAGAAAGGGGGTGGGGGGGAGAAAGACTGATCAGTTGATCAGCTGTAAAAACATTTCCGACCTTTTTCAATACAATGATACATCCAGTAAATCTGTCTCACTCACTCACTCACTCACTCACACATACACACAGAGAGAGACACACAAGAGCTTTGGATTGTGTTTAGGTGGTCGACACACGGGCAGAAAATGTAACATTCAGTGTCAGGAATTGATGAGACCAGTTCATACGTGTGTGTGCGTGCGTGTGTGTGTGTGTGTGGGTAGGGTGGGGTGGGGTGGTTGCTGGGGTGGGAGGTGTTGAAGAAGGGGGGAAAACGAGGATCAAGCAGTAACACAGTCTTGCGAGCCCAGCGACAGATAAATGTCTGCTTTACACTGGAAAGTGTTGAGGTTGTCGGGCAGCAGCTGACAGCTCTGCAGGTTTGGAGAGATGTCCTTCACACACACAGCCTGCAAACCAGAGCAAAGGCAAAATCAGCAACGAAAATAATACTCGTGTTTAATACAAGTGCCTTTATTTACATAAAAGTAATAAAATAGTTTCAATAACCATTCCCTCCCTTTTTTCCAAACTTAAGTGCCAATTGTAACAATCCCTGGTTATGTTCGTAGCTCATATTGTGGCATCGAAATAGCTTTTTTTTAAAAAAGATAAAACTCCAAAAATGAAATTAATCAATTTGAAATTAATAAAACGCCCAAAAACAAAAACCCAAATATAAAAATTTCCTCTCACTCATGGTCTTAATATATATATATATAGTGATTTTTTCCTCCCTCCCCAAATCGGAACAGTATTTAAAATTAATATTTATCAACTTTAACATTGTGGTCTCGTAGATTTTTTGGGTTTAAACTGCAGGCTATTTTTTTAAAAATCAACCACAGTATTTAAATGTGAAATAGACTGAAATACTTAGTTTAGCTGATTTGAGACTAATCTTATTCAAGGTGCTGATGAGATTGCGACTGACTGACTGACTGAGTGATATAATAATGATTATAATAATCCTTGCACCTGATGTAGTGCCTTCACATCGTTGAGAAGTCTTAAAGCGCTTCACAGAATATATCGTAAAGTGAATTAATTGACTGTATTTTGTGGGCAAAACATGGCAGCCAATTGCACACAGTAGTGTCCCATAAACAGCCGTGGATTGAGTGACCCAATTTTTTCGGAGGGATTATTACCCCCAAAAAGTGATTCGCTGGTAGACAGGCGTTGTGGAGTAAGGAAACTTGCCTGGGAATCGAACCCGGGTCCTCTCGCTTGCTCTAACCACTGCACTACAGGATTCCTCAATGAAATGAGGAATTGTTTGTGGAGAGGGAATCTATACTCACCATGTTTTTGATCAGCGTGCTCTGTTGAGGCTGTGTCAGCTCAGGGTACAGGTGGCCTTCACCTGTCTCTGCCCCCTCGCTGGGCTCGGAACGACGCACATAGGGGGAGCGACGGATGCCCGAGAGGAGACCCGAAGCTCTACCCACGGAGTAGTAACTGGGACCAGCCGTTTGCTTGTACCAGGCGTCAGCGGGGCTGCAGATCAGCGAGGAGAACAGCACACTCAGAACAGCCATTCTGGCTGAGCATTCCAGGGCGAGCATGACTTTACTGTGAAGTCAAGTCTCTCTCTGTCTGTCTCTCTCTCGCTGCTTCCTGCACCAAATGCAAAGCTGTGAATGTGAAGCAAACGCTCATCTCCAGCTCTATTTAAATGCCCCTCTCCCAGCCCCCTCCTCTCCCGCCCCCCCCCCCCCCCCCCCCCGCCACACACACTTCCATTTATTGACGACAATTCCGTCACATCTGATGCATAGTTAATCTGCATTCTCCAGACACCCTGACACGTTGTGGGCGATTAAAATCTCCAATTAACAAACTGGGGATGAATATTCGTTTAGATTTTTTTTAATATACTGTGTGTATACATATTCTCTCTCTCTCCCCCGTCTCTCTCTCTCTGCCCCTCCAGCTTTTTGTGATTCTCAGATGCATTAGAATTTTAATCATTTAAGCGTCACCTCAGTGATAGTCACTTTTCTTGGACAGGGCAGTTCGAAGGGTAATTTCTGACTGAGAGGGAGAAGGCACTCGGATTAGAGGCAAGAAAGGAAATAAAGACAGGAGCAAAAAGATGAATTATAAAAAGAGTGAAATAACAATAATAATCCTTGCATTTGATATAGCGCCTTATCACGTCTTCGAGACGTCTCAAAGCGCTTCACAGGATATACTGTAAGGTGAATTGACTATTTTGTGGGCGAATACAGAGAGAGGGGGATGAAGGCATCAAACCCATCACTCGGCATCTGTTCCTGGTTACAGGGAGAGAAAGTTTTGGTTATTTTTATATTTATGGCTTCTGATTTTCAGGGTGTTTATTCATTTCCTTTTCTTCGAGGATTATTTTTTAGCAATTTGAGTGTTTGTAAATGGGAGGGGCTTTTGTTACTGTAAAGAGAAGAGTTGGGAGATGTAAGAGTAGTGCACATGCTTAAGAATAATTAGTATTATTAATAACAATTAGTAATGAATGCCACACCAGAGACTTTACTGTGAAGTCAAGTCTCTCTCTGTCTGTCTCTCTCTCGCTGCTTCCTGCACCAAATGCAAAGCTGTGAATGTGAAGCAAACGCTCATCTCCAGCTCTATTTAAATGCCCCTCTCCCAGCCCCCTCCTCTCAGTCGTATACATTTAATACGAGTTGGATTGTAGAATTCATACAGATCAGACATATGGGAGTTTTATTTTAATGCTTTAAGCGCTGTGAGACGCTGTCCTGCTATATTAATAAACAGGTTGTTCAAGCAGTAGATCAGGTGGAGAGAAGGAATGGATGGGGGGGGGATGTCAGTTACCAGTAACCGTGCTCTGACTGTAACTGGTTAATATCTTGTTAGTAAAGACGCAGGGTGGTGAGCGAGACGCTGTGTCTAATCTCTCTACACCTCTGTGTGAAGTTTCATATTGCTGCCGTTCTGCTCCATTACCCCTATCAAATGGAATTACCTCGCTCTGACTGCGGGCAGTTGCGATTTGCATAGCAGATGGCATTACTACTCCTTTTATTAGATGGTAGAGATTAAATGTAGCCGTGAGCAACGTGATCCGTACTCCTCACCGCCCAGCCTGCCCCGAGAGATTAAACACAACCAGTTTGTACATCGCAATCCCTTTATTGAGAAATATTACATTTCAATCGACTATCAACCCCCAGCTCTGGTACAAAGCCTCCACTGTCCAGCACCTTGCGATGTCCTACCAACGTCAAAGGCGCTGTACAAATATAATTTTGTTCTTGTTGCTATTCTGCGTGTATATGTGTGTGGCGTGTCTTTGCTTGTATGTTGTAAGGTGGAGAATTCCACCCGGGTCTAGAATGATTCTGTCTCAAGGACGTGATAAGGCGCTATATTAAATATAAGGATCATTATTATTTATGCAGCATTTCGGAACATCCAAAGATTGAGCAAATTGTTGAATTCACTCTTCACTTTCTATTTTTTTTTGTCTGTTCTCCCCCCACCCCCCCCCACCCCCGGTTCTTAAAAGAAACGTACAGAAACATGGCTTCAAAATTGAGGCAATGTTAGAGAATTTGCTGAATCCCAGATGCTCTGAAATGCCACGTTATGAATAGAGCAAATCGAGACCGAGGTGAAATGGAATTTCTGCCCCTGTGATCCCATCTGTCTTGTATTTCTATTTAAGTATTATTGGATTCTGGAGAGCGGAGTTTCTCCCACTGTCCAGGCCAACAATCCCTCAAACAAAAAAAACCTCTTGTAACAAAACGGCTGCTCGTGAAACTGGCCGCCACGTTTCGCCCACAAAAATATACAGTCACTTCACAATATATTTCTGTGAAGCGCTTCGTGATGTCTCAATGACGCGATCAGGCGCTACATCGAATGTAAGGATTATTATTATTGTCATTCCCATCGAACATGCGAGTTGCTGTCATCAATGCTGGACTCTAATGCCATTGTTTTTTTTTTTTTGCTCTTTCCCCGCTTCCCATTCCCGATCGGTTAAAGGCAAAGATTCTAATCTTAAAGATCTCCCACTAAAGTCTCTTATTCCTAAAAACCTGTGTCGAAAGTCGCCGATAAGGCTGTCGTGTAGCGCCCTCCGGGGGCCATCCTCTGGTATTAATGCTGCCTTGTCCGGTCTAAAATGCTGACAGCACAAGAATTATTTCGCCTCGATTTTCCAGCGCCTTACGATATCACAGCGCTTTACAGTCACAAGTGGCGTGGACCGTTTTTTGTGGGAAAATGTGGCGAAGTAAAGTGAGCGAGTGACCACCTTTCCCCCCCCCCCCCCCGCCCCCCCCGGATTCTCGGTCAGCACACTGGGAGAATCTTCCCTTCTCGTTTCCAATATTCTCGCGGCATCTTTTAACGCTCGGCCTGAAACAGGTACGAACAGGTCTCATCCGAAGGACGGCGCCTCCGACCGTGAGGTGCACGGGCGAAGGTCGAACTTCTTGAAGGCGCCAGCCGCCTTTGTGACACTTTTAGAAACATATTTTACAATCTCTCCTTCTCCCCCCCCCCCCATCCCTCCCCTCCCGCCCGCGGGTGGCAATACCCCAGCTCAGAGGTCATTGTGCAGCGGCCGACACTGAGGGTCGTGTTTGTAATCCCCCTGGTCTTCCAACACACCGTCCGGGGCGCAAACCCAGGGATCCGAGGTCAGCCACTGCCATTTGCTCAGCTGCCCCTTCAACTGGGCCAGAGTGTCCTGGTACTGGGGGTCCTCGGCCAGGTTGTGGATCTCGGTGGGGTCGGTGTCGAGGTCGAAGAGCTCCCAGCGCTGCCGGTAATAATAGCCAGCCAGCGACTTGTACCAGTGGGTGGGTCTCCCCGACTCGGTCCTGTTCAGCAGGTCCTGGAAGGTGGGCGACAGGTAAAAGTCCTGGTCGATGGGGAAGGGCATCTTGTAGTTGATGTTGTGGAGGAGCCGGTATTGGCCGCTGTGCACCGCTCGCATCGGGTAGTACATGGTGACCTCGTGGTGACTCTGGCTCCCAAAGGCCGTCGCCCACGGCTGCTCCGACACCAGAGCCGGGAGCAGGGATTTTCCCGTCAGCTGCACGTCGGTGCCCTTCCCGAATATGGAGTAAGCCGGGTAAGGGATGGAGAACCAGTCCAGGATCGTCGGGGTTATGTCTGCGGGGTTGAAAACACCAGGAAAGAGACGGTTAAAACAGTAAGCGTCTGCTTGGGGTGGGTCCCACCACCAGCGTCTATAGCACGGGGACGCACATTCTGGGCAACCCAAGGCTTGGCTCTTGCCAAACTGCGCCTAATACTTCCCAGAATTGGGTAAACAGGATGTGTCCTCCAAGGAGAGAGAGAGAGAGAGAGAGCGCATTCCATTCCAACAATCTATCTCTGGAATTTTCCATGTGTCGTTGGGACACCCGGAATTCGCAGCTTGGTTTGGATACTCTCAAACACGGTGATGGGTTCCCGCGTGTGTTAGACACGGCAGCCCATTGCGCACAGGTTTTGTCCTGCCCGGGGAATCGAACCCGTGTCCTCTTGCTTGCGACGCTGTACAGCCAGGAATATTATTATTATTGTTATTATTAGCCAGGATTATTGTGACGGCTGATTACCGAGCAGGCTGGTGTAGGAGGCGCTGACCTGCCCCCAGCGCTGGCGATGCTCGGGGGACGAGACGAGCAGAGGCTCGGCCACTCCGCTCCGGTACAGATTGGTTCTGCCGTTGGGGAAGGGGACGCCGTTGTCGGAGCTGTAAATGACCAGCGTGTCATCCTGGTGCCCGGCCTCCCGCAGCTCCTTCAGCACCAGCCCGATCCCTGCCCCGGCCACGAACAGGAAACGTCAGCAACAACAACTCGCATTTCGATAGCACCCTTCACTTGGGGTTGTGTCTCGGAGCGCTTGACAGTGGCGGAGCCTGACACCGAGCCCGTGGGAAGAGGAGGTGACCGTAGGCACAGTCGAAGAGGAAGGTCTTCAGGCGCGACCTGGAACGTGAGCAACAACGCAGCACGGAGACACGATAGGGCAACGCGCAGTCACTCGCTGCAGTGAGCCGGGTGGGGGTTGGGGGAACTGTGGCAACCAGGGTGGGGAGGGGGAAGAGACTTACTGCCGGTCGCTGTGTCAATGTGTCGTGGGAGGTTACCTTGGTCCAGGCGGCTGATTGTCGTATACTGAGCGGCCAGGTCAGCGCGGGCGGCCGGTGTGTCAGGAACAAAGTGCAGGACCTGGAGAGAGACGCAGAATGAGAGGCACATCAGTCACTCTCCTGTCGGAATGTTCTCCCCCCACCTTACAATAATGACAATCGTTGCATTTGAATACAGAGCCTTATCACATCGTTGCAACGTCTCAAAGTTTGTGGAACATTCGCTCTGTGCAAATTGGCTTTGTTTAGTCACCTACAAAGCACGTAGTCACAACACTTTAACGTGAATCGCGGGAAGTGTTTTGAGATGGGATAAGCTGCCTGTAAAAAAGTGTAACTTTGTTCTTTCTCGCCTTGACTTGTTCCGGGGTGTAATGCTGTGGTTTCCAGTCCGGGATCCAGCCCATCCCACTCTCCCCGTTCCCAAATTTCTCGCAGAATGGTCCGTACTGGGGATGGGAGTGACCACAGCGATGGGGATCGTGGAAAGCTACGTAGAGGAAGAAGGGACTAGAGAGAGAGAGAGAGAGGGAATGAAGGAGGTTTGTTAGAGTGCAGGAGCGTTGGGGGAGATGTGTAATAATACTTGCATTTGATATGGTGCCTTATCACATCGTTGAAGAATATACTGTAAAGTGAATTGACTATATATTTATATATACTGTGGGTGAAACACGGCACCCAAACTGCGCAGAGCAAAACGGGTTTTGGATTGAGTGACCATTTTTTTTTCTGGGTGGGATTATTACCCCCGGAAAGCGATCCGCCAATTGACAAACAACCGGGTTCCTATTTACTGTTGGGTTAACAGAGGCGTGTGGAGTAAGGAAACTTGCCTAAGGTTTTGCCCTGCCTGGGAATCCAACCCGGGTGGTCTTGCTTGCGAAGCGAGCGCTCTAATCCCTGAGCTACAGAACTCCACAAGCGAGACTCACCTGGGATCGGAGCTGTGTAGGAAGTCCCGCACCAGCTGTCTGATTTTCGTGATGTTCCTCCCGACCTGCAGGATGGAGTGGTTCTCCTCGGTCTGGGCATAGTCAAACGGGTAAACCCAGGCCGGCCCCACGTGCTTCTTCCCGATTATACCTTCAAACAGAGACAGGCGCCGGCGGGCAATTAAACCAGAGCTCGCTGCCGGTAACTGGTGACAGCCGCTGACCACTGCAAACCCCCCATCACTGAAACTCCCTCCGACTCACTCGCTCCCCACTTTATCTATCTGTAGATAAAAGCCTCCTCCTGAAAAAATCCTGCCTCGTTGTTCGGCCGTGTCTACGATCACCACCCTCCCTGCTGAGTGTCTTGACACCAAATCTCCGTAAAGCACTCTGCGATATTGTCCTACATGAAAGATGCTGTGTAAGCGCAAATTGTTGTTATTGCTGTTGCTGGCTGTGCGTGTGGGTATGTGTGCGTGTGTCTCTGTCTCTCTCTCTCACACACACACACACGTTCTTCTGAATGTGTTTTGACTGTTCCTCGTGGAGAATGGAACATTTGCTTGTTCACTTTGTGACTGTTTGCAGGACCTTCTTTCTGCTCCTCCTCTTCTGCTTTTGTCTGTAAAGAGTCGTCACAGTCGCAGGAATTGCTGTAAAGTTCTTCGAGGAGTTTCAGCGGGAAATGAGGCGAGTGTGTGTGTGTGTGTATATATTAAAAAAAAGTTTTTTTCTCGCCAACCTGTCCTGATGTGAGCTTGGCTGAGCAGCTGCGGTAAACTGCGGACGTTGTCGAAGGAGTTGAAGTGGTGGGTTCCCTGGTGTAGTCCGTACATCCCATTCTGGTGCTGCAAGAGGAGGCGAGGCTGAGCGAGGGCGCAGAAACACGGGATTTCTCCCACAAAATATGCAGTCACTCCACTTTACAGTATAGCCTGAGCAAGGTGGGGGTAGGAGGGTGACTGAAGGCGCAGTCCAAGAGGAGGGTCTTGAGCCTGGCCTTGGAGGAGGAAAGTTAGGGGGCTGAGGCAGACAGACTGTGGGATGGAGTTTGAGAGGGTGGGAGCAGAAAGAACAGATCAGTGTGGCTCCAGCCAGGAGGAACCAGGAGGAGGGTGGGGGGCTGGGAGATTGTGCAGAGTCAGGCAGTGACGGTACCTGTGGGAGTCCAGTTAGGATGGTGGACCGGCTTGGGGAGCAGCTGCTGACGGAGGTGAAGGCATTGCGGAATATCACGCTGCGGGAGGCGAGCTGGCTTAGGCTCGGCGTCCTCACTGCGCTGTTGTTGTACACCTCTGTCTCGAAGCCGGCGTCATCCGCTGTCAATCACACGTACAAGTCAGCTGTCAATCACACTAACCCGCTGACTCCCCAACTCCCACGGGCTACAACCTCATCACATCCCCACGAGTCGTAGGAGCCGGAGGAGAGTGGTGACACTGTGAGAGACTGGGCTGGGGGAGTATTACACAGTGAGAATGGCCTCACTGGCCCTGGGCTTGCAAAAAGGGAATGATTGTGTGAGGGGATGGGGCATCACACCTGTCACCTCTATCACAAATTGGCAGTGGGGTGGTGGCGCAGCATATGAACCCTTGTTTTGGAATAGTAATCCTTGCATTTAGTGTTGAGCATTATCACGTCTCGGAAGGACGTCTCAAGGCGCTTCGCAGGATTTACCGCGAAATGGAGTGACTGTGTATTTGTTGGCAAACACGGCCGGACAACTCGTGCACAGCAACGTCCCACAAGCAGCTACGGAGTGAGCGGCCAACTTTATTCGGTGGGCTGTTGGCCAGCGCACCGAAATACCGCCAACGGGCTCTCGAGCCATCCACCCGAACAGGTTGATGGGACCGCCTCGGTCGCACCTCGGGGTGGGGTGGGTGAAGCAATCCTGTCGCAGTATTAACTCACCAACGATCAGAAGCACATTCCTCTTCTGTTGGGCGGCATGAGAGCCCAGGAGGAGCACCAGGGAAACAGCACAGGCGCTGACCCGGAGCCACGAGCCAAACATCCTGAAGGCACAACACAACACAACACAGCACAGCACCGCTTAACTGAGGAATAACAACATTGACAGATGCAACTGAATGAATCCGCAGCTTGTGGTGGGGGGGGGGAGGGGGTGGGGGTGGGGGGTCAGTGGGGGGGGGAGGGGGGTCAGTGGGGGGGGGAGGGGGTTGGGTGCCAATCCGCTGATGGGTTGGGACCGAGCGTGACGGGAAGGCGGCCCTTTAAAGTCAATGAAAGGCCCTTTTCATCACCGGCGTCAATGGGCATTAGAGACGGCGGCGGCTGAACACTGACACGTGACTCCGCATTGCTTTCCCGGAAGTGAAAATGGATACTTTGTCGCCGTGTGACCAGACGGTCACGTGACGCGGTCTGCCCCGCCCCCTCCCTCCCCCGGCCCCGCCCCTCCCTCCCCCGGCCCCGCCCCCTCCAAATCACTTCTGTCTGCACCGACTGTCCCCATCTCCGGCCGTGTGGGGCTCTGGTTGGTATATGAATTTAGCAGCACCTGTGGGGGGGTTTTTTGGGGGGGAATGTAATAGAATTAATTCACCCTCTTACCCCCCCACTTCCCCCCCTCCCACTTCCCCCCCTCCCCCCCTCCCACTTCACCCTCCCACTTCCCCCCCCACTTCCCCCCCACACTTCCCCCCCCTCCCACTTCCCCCTCACCCCCCCACTTCCCCCTCACCCCCCCCCACTTCCCCCTCACCCCCCCCACTTCCCCCTCACCCCCCCCCACTTCCCCCTCACCCCCCCCCACTTCCCCTCACCCCCCCCCCACTTCTCCCCCCCCCCCACCTCTCACTGACTCCAGAGTTTTTATTGACTGTGACACTTATTTCCTTCCTTCTCAGCTGAAGTCTCAAAGGGGGTTCCCGACGCTTTTTCGTTGTAAACACTTTGATTTATTTATTATATATAATATATATATGTGGACATTCACGGACACCGATGCCCTGTACACATTGGCTTCTTTTCGTCCCCGCAAACCTTTCCTTCTCATTCCCCCCTCTGCCCTAAATCAAAAGTATTTTCTGAACTCCTCCCCATCCCCACCACCACTTCCTCCTCCTCCACCACCTCCTCCTCCTCCTCCTTTCCTCGACGTATCCGGGCAACTTTCCCGGATATTTTCTTCCTCTGTGTTATTTGCATTTCCCTTTCGCGTGTCCCAGGAATCTCCCCCCCAAGTCTCGCTTCGTGGAAGGTGTTTGGATCAGTTGCGTCTAATCGTGTGGGAGACGGTGGAGGCGAATAGTCCTGACTATTTGAAAGTTGATCTAAAAAAATAAGGAATGATATATTTTTTAAAAAAAGTCTCCAAATCTCTCCCCCTCTCCACCCCCCCCATGTGGAATAACCGTGTATATTTGACTCAAAATCAGAGAGGGCTGGGAACACTCAGCAGGTCAGGTGAGTGTTCCCAGCCCTCTCTGTGTTTGTTTTAGATTTCCAGCACCTGCAGTATTTTGTATTTTATGTATATTTGAGGTGTGGTCCCCACCAAGTTAACCGCACCTGTGTCTCGTGCCCAGAGCCCTCGGTCACGCCTGGAGCCGTGCGTGTCCCTATTGCACAGTGGCCTCTCGGAGGAGCGGTTGCGTGAACAAACCATGACCGGCTCCTGAGGCTGAGAGGAGGGAGAGCAATGGACCGAGCGAGGATTCGAGCGAGATGCCTGTTTGGTGCAGCCATTGCCAGCCTGAGGAAATGCTGCTCTTACGGAACCTTCCGGGCTGTGTTCCCGATACTGGGCTGGCTGCCCCGCTACTCCAGCCACTGGCTGCGCATGGACCTACTGGCGGGTGTGACGGTGGGACTGACTGTGGTTCCCCAAGCCTTAGCCTACGCCGAGATAGCAGGACTTCCCGTCCAGGTTGGTGCTCTGGCTGTTTGTTTTCCACCCTTGCTCTTTTGCTTTTCTTTTACATGTTTGTTCTCTCCCACAATCCCCCCCCCTCTTGACCCCCCCACCCCACTTTGGTTTGCCCACCCCCCCACACACACAAAAAAAAAAGCCTCTTGAGGTCTGCCCCCAGTTTGACATAATGGGATGTTATCGCCGAACAATGAAAGACTTGCCCATGTCAGATGCCCAGTTTGGGTATTCCGCTAATCTGTCCCTGTCACACATGACCAACCCCCCCCACCCTCTCTACCATCGGTCCCAAGAAATACCTCTTTGACCGTGCCTTCATCCATCCTCCCACTCCTCTTGCCCTCCACCGCTCTTGACTAAAAGACCCAGCTCGGATGCAAATATTTCACTGTCCAGTGCCTTGGGACATCCTCCTGATATGAAAGACGCTGTGTAAAATGCAATTTGTGTTTTTTTTGGTGGTGTTAGTTCTCTGTCTCGAGTGTCACTTGGCAACACGGTTTCTGATGGGGAATGGAAATCAGGTCCCAGTCACATTAATACTGATCCCCAAACACTGGCCTAGGAAGGAGTAACTATTTGCAATACCAACTTGCTTTTACATGGTGCCCTTCACGCAGGATAGTGTCTTGGAGCGCTGCACGATGATGGGGTTGGACACCGAGCAAGGGAGAGGGGGGTGGGAAGCTTGCCCACACCATTCTGAGTGGCTGGGGGGTTGGGGGTGGGGGCTCATTTCAGAGACTCATTACCATTTCTTTTGTGCTCAGTATGGACTCTACTCCTCGTTTATGGGCAGCTTTGTTTACTGCCTACTTGGCACTTCCAAAGACATCACGTTGGGTCCCACAGCCATCATGTCCCTCCTGGTCTCCATCTACGCATTCCATGATCCGGCGTATGCTGTACTCCTGGCATTCCTCTCCGGCTGTGTCCAGCTCGCGATGGGCATTCTCCGCCTCGGTAAGAATTGGGTGCACCAAACCCGAGTTAGCCCACGCTGGTGGCTCCAGAGCAGATGATGATTATGAGCCATTGACATGAGTAGAACCAATTCCTTTCGCCCTCCAATGTTTCCTCACATGATGTAATCTAATCTTGGGCAGTTCACAGGGTGGATACCGGCGCTATACAAATGTAATACAATTGTTTTTTCTGAGACCTGTTTGCTGGTTGTTCTGGTAAATTGCCAACACACTTTGTCTTACCAGATCTGATAATTCACTGCATTTGCATCAAACAGTAACTCGATTATCTCCCCTCGTAGGCTTCCTTGTTGACTTCATCTCTTTACCGGTCATCAAGGGATTCACCTCTTCTGCTGCACTGACCATTGGCTTTGGGCAAGTGAAGGTAAGGAGACCCACTAGAAGACCTGGGGCTCATGTTACTTGGCAGTGAGCTCCAATAGAGGATTACCATTTCTGCTGCCATCTGAGAGTCTTCTTACAAAAGATGGTAATGCTTTTGTAGTTGAGAACAATTATTGGGTGGATAATGAATGACTTCCAAACATAAGATCGCTCCATGACTAAAGATAGAATAAACTCCGATCAGATCTTCATCCAATGGGTTGCAGGAGGAGTACTGCCCCAATGTCGCTCGTCCAAGCCTAGGTCTTCCTTCTTGAGGCTGGGATGATCTTGACCCTGAAGTGCTCTTTGGTCAACAAAGTCTCTTGACCATTGCAAGCATGGAACAAGTCTCCCAATCTCCTCCCTTCCCTATCAATCTGAGATGAAATGCCTTGTGGCCGTGCATCTGCTCTGCCCAACAAGTGTGGCGTATTTTGCTGTGCAAATGTGACTGACCCACTGTCAGGGCTGGGATTTTGGTGGGTAGGGTTGAAGAGGTTAACGTTCAACCACCACTGACTTGCACCAATTAATGAAATTGTTGTAAACTATTAAACCCTGCCCAGTCTTTAAAGGGTTAAAACGTTCAGACCAAAATGTAGACGAGATTCCAAGTGATTAAGTGAATTTCCCATGGGATTAAGTGAGTTTCCCATGGGAAAAGCAGTCAAGAACTAGACACTCAATGGACAAGGTTAATGAACCTTAATCTGACAGACTTGTCTTCTCGGATTACTCCTCCTCAATCCCAGAAATCCACAGGAGGAAGATGTGATGGTGACTGTCATTCCCCCCCCGTTGCCTTTGATGTGCTTTTATAATGGGCTAATTTCATTATAATGCAAGATTTGTTGTACTTGACATTGAGATCATTCTGCTCTGTGGACCTAATTTAATCTGGAGATAACAAGCTAGTGTATTAAATGGAATGGAATATTTCTTAATTTCCCCTTTAGCTCAGTGTGATGGAGCTGACTTTGTGGCTTGTTGTTATGAATCAATGAGTGACTTATTATTAAAACTGCATCTGTGGTTCTTTCCTCCTCCTTCCTTGCTCGGCATCCGCTGCGCAGCATTCCGAGATGCTATCCTGCATGAAAGGCGCAAGTTGTTGTTGTTGTTGTTGTTAACTTTCTTGATCTCTTCTCTGTGCAAACAGAACATCCTTGGGCTTCGTGACATCCCACGCCAGTTTTTCCTGGAGGTTTATTATACGTTTCACAATATTATGGAAACCAGGTTGGTACCTTATTATCTCACATTCTGAACTGCCGGACAGTTCTAAAGTTATCAGCCGTGACTCTGGATGTGCACACTCTATGATCCTGCCTACACTTACACTTCCCTTGCGTCTGTGCTGCAGTGAGAGTGCCCCCTCCTGGTTTCACAACTCTGCTGTTCAAAATGAATAACTATTTGAAAACAGGAGGGGGGGTTTCATCCAAGGTTCTGGTCAACGGTCCTCCAGATAAATATCTGGGACCCTGTTATGCGCGCATTTCCCCCAGCGTTACAATGAAACGTCAATCTGGACGATGAGCTCAAAGACCCAATGTGGGGCTTGAACCCGCAGCCTTTTTACTCCAATGCGAAAGTGCTACCAACTGAGCCAGGCTAACGCCTAAATTGTTTCTGACTGTGCTTTCCTTGTGCGCTCACTCAGAGTAGGTGACCTTGTGCTGGGTGTAAGCTGCATTCTTCTGCTGGTGCTTCTGAAGATGATGAAGGGACAGCTGGCTGAGGACTCTGGAGATGAGTCATCTCTCTACCAAGTTTGTCGCACAATCGTCCGGTCTATAGCAACAGGTCAGTGTGACACTTAAACATTTTTTTTCAAAATGTCTCTTTTGTCAATCTGCGTTCACAACCCGTGCAGCTGTTTCACTGAGAAGGTGTTCCTTGTTCTTTTCGCAGCTCGCAATGCGGTGGTGGTGGTAGCTGCAGGCATCGTCGCTTACAGCTTTGAAAATCAAGGGCTCCACGTGTTTGTGCTGACTGGCAAAACCGATCGTGGGCTCCCTCCCTTTCGCCCGCCACCATTCTCCAAAGTATCGCCCAATGGGACCGTGCATTTTGACAAGATGGTCTGGGTAAGCTGTAGGTACGAACATCCACATAGAGGGAAAATGAAGTGTGTGCACACTATTGAGACCTGGCAAATCCGCAATGAATCGAAAACACTGTGGGTAGTTAAACTGCCCGTCCTCCGGAAGAGACACTAAACCAAGGTCTCGTTTGCCTGTTCAGGGAGGATAAAGATCCCAATGGCACTATGTGAAAAGAGAAGGGAGTTTCTCCCTTGTCTTTTCACAAAGTGGATAAAATGCACAGTTATCCCCTCTATAGTATTTTTTAAATGTCTCGATGATGTGAAACCTCTATATCAAATGCAAGAGTTATCATTATTATCAATGAGGCTTGGAAGGTTAAGTATGTTTTCAACTGGAGGGCAAAGCCCGAGCGGGTTAGCAGTTCTAGATTGACAACTGCTTCATACTGTTAATAATGCCCAAATTCACAAGTGCTCAGAACCCATTAATCAGCTCAACCTAGACAGGAGCTCAGCAACGGGAAGTTGGCTAGGTGTTAGTGAAAGCTGCTGGGCTCAGGGGGGGGGCAACTTTGAAACTAGCAACTTAGTAAAAAAAAATTGAACTGCTTAACATGCAAGGCTCTCTCGACACCCTCTGATCTTTCCAGGACATGGGAGCGGGTCTGGCTGTGGTGCCACTAGTTGGATTTTTGGAAAGTATTGCAATAGCCAAAGCCTTCGGTAAGTGACCCTCCAGTTAGACTTCACATGATCGGCTCATTTGATTCCCGTAGACCTGAGGCAATCGATTGCTGAGATGCAGAACCACTTTGATTTATTTGGAGTCTTCATGCAAACGGTAGCACTCTCTCTCCTTGGTCAGAAGGTGGGTTCAAGCCCCGCATCACCAGTTTAAACTCGCACTCTAGGCTGATATGTACATATGTATTATTTTTTAAAAATGCACGAATATTGTATAAATGGTTGACATGACACTGTGATCTGAAAAGTCTGTGTTCCCACAGCAAGCCAGAACAACTATAGAATTGATCCAAATCAGGAGCTCATAGCAATCGGTGAGTTATTTCTTATTATTGATTGGAACACCTTTAAATGCTTAATGGGACCCTTTAGGCATGGTTGTAACGCCCCATCTCTACCCCTAAAACCGTGTCTCTTTTCAATCTAGGTAGCACCAACATCCTGGGCTCATTTGTTTCATCGTACCCAGTTACAGGGAGTTTCGGCAGGTGGGTATTGGGGATTTTATGCATGACTTTCCCAATGGGGCTACCACCCTACAATGGAGTATCGCTCCCATGTATTGGGATGTGGATCCTACACCTGGAACTTCAATGTGAGCAATTTAGGCGGAGACCATTCAGTAGCTAGTTAGTTGATGCAGTGAGTCCTGGGAAGATGATGGATTGAGCTTGTTCCTGAGCCCAACAGGAGAATGTGTTGGGTTAACTCGATGTAATTTCATCTTGGTGTAACTCATTTGATGTAATTTCATCTCTGTGCAAATCTATCTGCTGATCAATAATTCACCTCTCTCTCGTTGCGAGATCCATCATTAATTTATATAATCTCTTTACAGAACAGCAGTGAACTCCCAGACAGGTGTATGCAGTCCTGCTGGGGGAATAATTACTGGTGAGTGATTAGTTTCAGTAACTGCGTCTTTAATGAAAAGCTTGAGGTGGATGTTAAAGTTCTTTCAGACATTTAACCTAAACTGAGGTGTAATTGACTGAGGTAGCTCTCATTGAGTAACTCAGACTTCAATGAGTCTTGGTACTTGGTGACAGGCCATGTTGATCTCTTAATGGCTCTGACATTCTTTGCTTCGTATTTACCTTCAGGTGCCTGGGATGCCTTGCCCCACTTTACCCCTGATGTGCTGAGATCCCACTCTTTTCCCCCATCTATTCCTTCCGCTCTGCCAATCGTGATAAAACAGGCGCTACAAAAAGGTCCAAAGTCTTTCACTTGCATTGGTTGCAATTCTCTGCCCTTTTCCATCCAGGTACCATTGTGCTGCTGTCTCTGGCCTTTCTGACTCCTCTCTTCTACTACGTCCCAAAGGCAGCGCTGGCGGCCGTTATCATTTGTGCCGTGTTGCCTGTGTTTGACGGCGGGATCATTGCCAAGCTGTGGAAAGTGAAAAGTAAGTGCTGGATTGAATTGAGAGTTGGGAGCTTCACTCGTATAATACAGTTTCCCTCAGCTGCCATTTTGCCAGACGTCCCTTCCTACAATTCGCTTCTTAAAATTCAATCCTGTCTTCATCTAACTGCTTCACTTCACTGCATCTCATCTTCTCCCCAGCGTTGGGCAGAGTCCTTGTCCTTCAACTGGATTTTTCCATTGAATTAAAAACATTGTTTGAACCACAACAACTTGCATTTATACAGCACCCTTCATGCAGCGTAGCATCCCGGAACAGCTGAAATGTAAACCATGCATTGTAGAAGGTACTTGGCCATCATGTGACTATTGAGGACAGTAATATAACCACTGTTTCTATTCTGGTTTCTCCAGAGTTGGACTTGTTGCCTTTCTTTGCATCTTTTTTGGGCTGTTTCTGGGAAATCCAGTATGGAATTTTGGCTGGAATGGTTTTGTCTGGGATCATCCTGTTTTACAATATTGCCAGACCAGACGCTAAGGTAAGGATGTAGTTAAATTTAACTGTAGAACCACGTGAACATTAGCATGCAGTACAGTATGTCCATCTATGTGGCATAGGGCTTTTTCCCAGTGAGTCGCTGAGCCATAGAGACAGGGAAGGTCCCAAATTCCAAATGATTGTGTGCTGAGGTAATTATCTTGCAGGATCTGTTCCTGTTGAAGCTTAAGTATATATTGAAACTCAACAAGGTATTTTCCCTCCAACCTGGGAACCCAGAATTGTGGGGATCTCAGAGACAGACCAAGTCTGATGATAGAAGCAATGTAGAAGGGAACAAAGGAGATGATCTCCAGTTGAGAAGCATGGACGATGAGGAATGAGGACTGGATCAGCATCGAAAACGTCCGTCTTCAAGCAGAACGCTTCTAGATGCTGCCGAGTAGGATTGAAAAATTAAAACCAGAAGAGTACTTTCAGACAAACCAAGACAGTGGGACTAGCAGGCACAGGTTGAGTTGAAGGACAATTTCAGAAAAGACACAAAGGTGTATTTCTTCACACAAGAGTAATAAAGATATGGAACTGGAGTCTCGATTTTATTCAAGAAACTGCTGAAGGCAGTATTGGGAGGATGATTGGGTTGGTGTTTTAGAAGGATGAGTTCAAAATGCTTTTTCTTCATCTGAACCTCTTGTTAATCATCGCACTTCAACATTAAACCGTTGGGGGGCGTGCTTATACTGTGGGAAGAGTTCTAAAGTGTACAATAGAGAAACTCTCCAAAGATTGATCTGTCTTCCAATTTCCTGTGTGTGTGTTCTAGATTACAGATCATGGCGTTGTGGTGATCCAGTTGCAAAGTGGTCTCAATTTCCCAGCTGTTGAGTATGTCCGGAACCTTTTGTACAGGCACGGTTTAGAAGGCACGTACAGCTGCAGTGGGGCTCCTTGTCAACCATTCTGACGGGCCTGGATGGATCTGTAACTTTTTCCACTTTGGTGAAAGCTTCTTCGTGAGATATCAAACTTGAGGTCCCATTCCTGCTCCAAAGGAAAAGGAAGCATTTCCTGGTATCCTGACCAGAAATCATAACATAATATAAGAACATAAGAAATGCTAGACGAAAAAAAGCCCAAGGTCCGTCTAGTTCGTCTTCCACCTTCCTGGCGGTCGCATGCACCTATGTCCCGAACTACCTATGTACAATATCCCATAATGTTATTTCCAATAAGAAAACGTATCTAATCCTCCAGACTAATTGGCTGCTTGTTGGAACTTGCTAGCGCTACTGCGAATGCTAGAGAAAAGCTGAGACTAGATCAGGGTTGGGTATTCAAAGCATGATGTGAGGTTCCCTGTAAATTGATGGACTGGCTCTTCAGCTTTGTCAAAAATGATTGACTGTTCTTCGCTCAGGATTTGTTTAAGCTCTGTGCATGTAGAGTTGAGCGATGGAACCATTTTGGGAATATCGTGGAATCTTAATTCTGTTTTTGTTTCTTTCTACAGCCTCGGCTCCTCGTTCTGTAATTCTGGACTGTGTTCATGTGAGCAGCATCGATTACACAGCAGTGAACCTCTTACGAGAGCTGATCTCGGAGTTCCAAGAGAAGGCCGTACCTTTGCTCTTCTCTAATTTGCGGGTATGCAATCACAGCAATTTAATGGGCTTTTACAGATTACTACATAGAAGATCTGGGCAGGAGTGAGAAACCTCTACTTTTTAACAGAAACTTGACATTCAATGTACAAGGATGTCTATTTCAAGCCATTCAGACAACTATTTTCTACCGAATGTAAATGTTAAATGTTCTTAAGTTCACTGTAGCACGAGATACAGAGTGAAGCTCCCTCCTTTTCTACTTTAACCACAGTGTGAACAAGCTTTACTGGGTGTGAACTTTATTTCCATTCCCCATGCCAGTGATTCAAATGATTGTTCTGTATTTCAAACCCATGGCCTTTCCACCAAGTGGCAAATGTTAGAGGTTTCTCTCATGGCGGCAGACTGATCTGATTTGGAGGCTATTCTAGAGATGGAATGAATGTGCTAACCCACTGAACAGCCTAATGTTTTCCTCTTGTTTTGAATGCTAACCATTATTCTAAGTGTACTTTTTTGGGTGATTGAATATCCTTCCTAATGGATTCTGTCTCCAAAGATGGCCAGTGTGAATGATGTGGCCACACTAATATCTATGTGTATCTTTCTCTCACTTAGCTTGAAATTCTGGACATCCTAATTTCAGCGGATATAAAGGGACTGAGATACTTTGATGATACAGAGACAGCACTTCATGTATCCGGTGATGAAACTCACTCATCCTTGACATTTCTTGTTTCTCGTTACGTTTTGCCCCTGACCTCACCTAGTGGTTCCAGCTTGAGATCAAGAACCTCACTGTGGAGAAGTTGTTAGTACAAACTCACGGGAGAGAACTGGGGCAGAGGTGCTCATGTGTTTGTACCACACTCAAAGCCCATGTGGTCTACACAGGCCCTGCCAAAACACTCAGTACACGACCTATCACAAATGTTCAGCTTACAGTGGTGTACCACAAAATTATTATTAAAATACAGTCACTCCACTTTACAATATATACAGTGAAGTGCTTTGAGACGCCTCAATGACATAAGGTGCTGTATCAAATATAATCAAGAGAAAGACTAAAGAAAGCACGTAACTTTCCATACTTGTGTCATATTTCACCTTTAAAAACTGACAAAATACATTTGTTTGGTAGAACATTGGTACCTTGGTCTCTATAGAGAAAATTGGAATGCAGCCTTGTATCAGAGGACCATGATGAAACCCATAATAAATCAGGATCTGGAGGGTAGGGGTAGTAGGGTGAGCGAAGAGGGTCTTGAGACATGCCTTGAAGGAGACACGTGCACCCACCATGTGCAGAAGAAACACAGTCAGCATTCAGTTTAACATGAATAAACCTCAGCGAAAGGGACTGGAGTATTTGAATTCCAGACCTACGCCCCCCCCCCCCCCCCCCCCCCCACATCAAGGCACTGCCATGCAACATTCTATTCCTACATTGCGCTTTTTGTAATCTTAATTAATCTCATCATTCCTTTGATATTTTAGGTGAGACCGCCAGTGTGGTTGGAGGGATGAGCACTGCAAAATCCCTTGTTAATCTAAATCCAGGTACAATGCATTTGAATTCTTTCTCGGAAAAAATACACTTCTCATTCATAGTGTTTGAACGTGTAGAGAACTTTATTCATAAAACACTTTTCCTCTTATCATTCTGTCCTTTACAGATTACCACATAGAAGACCTGGATGGGAGTGAGAAACCTCTGCTTATTAACAGAAACATGACATTTTATTCCTAGTCAGAACATTACTCATCAAATACTGTCGATTCCAGGAGCCATTCTCTCTTCTCATCACTAGAAATTGATGGAAGGAATTGCCAGTCATTCCTTTAGTGATATGCAGTGCTTTTACTTTGTTCACTTGACTCTTTGAGTAAAGTGTAGCAGTATCACAAGCAATGACTTGACTGAATGGTTATCTGGCTAATGAAGAGTTACAAAATAGTGTATCATTTCCCACGTCTTCCAGAGATGGTACACTATACTTGCACAATCTAATTTATTTTTGTATGTTCAATCTGGTTATCTAATCCTCATGTGTTTAAAGTGTATAATCTCTCCCTGGGATGCACTCGTATTAAATACACTTGTCCATTTCTATATCTTCAAGTAGTGACTAAACTTTTGTAAGGTGTCCATTAATTCTCCTACCTCTAGGTACAGATGTTCATTATCTTTTCCCCAGTGCTTAGAGACAGAGAGACTGACTGGAGGAGGGGAGAACTAAAAAGTAAACCTTAGATAAAAGTATTTAACCTTCCATTAAATTGCCTCGATTCTCATGCCTGCTGCTGCTGCTAATTTAGTCCTGATTGTAGAGATCTTATTCATAGTGCAATTTTAATACACAATTGAATTGTGATTGAACTAGCAAGAGTAGATTAATGGTTTACAATTGCCAGCAGTAGGTCTGCCAGTCATGTTTGCAGTCGTATTATTATCTACAGGCTCCCGTTGGGGAATCTGGAGTACTGTCTGACTAAACAACACATGGACTTTGTAATTTGTACATTTCAAACTGGTTGTAAATATTGTATTGGTCAATGGTTGACTGAGAAATAAATACCTTACTAAGCATATTTTAATGTTTGTAGCTCCAGGTTTGTTTAAAGTCTCAACCTTTTTGTCTTTCAGTCCAATCTTACAAGTAACCTGTGCCTGGGAAAAGGGATGAATGCAAGGACATTTGTCTCGACTCTTTCTGAAATGTTTTATAGTTCCAGAGTTGAAATGAGTGTGTAGACACTGCTTTGCTTCACAGAAAACGTTACCTCATTAAAGTATTCCTGGAATCAACCGAGAAACCAAATAAATGCTGACTCATCTCCCTCAAAGTTATGAGGATGATTTGACCAGTCTGCACCTACTAATTAGCCAAGTGGATTCGTGGATGCTTAAATCACCTTTTGAAAAAACTTAAATTTGAACAATGGACTGGTGAGTTTGTGATCTTGGATCCCTGGGGGACTTGTGAGTCACCCATAGAGGAAATACAAAGAATTGTGCAGTTCAACAACATGACTGTTTCAAAATCTGCCGACTGTTTCCTGAAATAGGTTGGTCTAGGGCAAGTTTGTTCTGGGTCTGATTCACAGTGTCTTGACTGCAGAGGTGGGTGCTAATCCTTGAAATGTGAGCGAAGCCATTTTAGGACCTCCTGCAGTCCACTGCCATCTCGAGAGCTAACTTCAAGCACACTGAGGGGCTGTTTAGCACACGCTATGATGTCGTCCAGTCTGAATAGACTTTTCATTTCCACGAATGACATGGGACAGGGAAGGTCACTGCAATGTAAAAGGAAAGCTTGGTTATGTTTTATTCCTGACAACAGTCCAGTACAAAGCTGCCCTTCCCAAAGCATTACTTGTTGACCTCTCCATTTCTGTATCTCTCTATCTCTTCTCAACACTACTGGGCACTTAGGATGCAAGCCAAGAGATGTGACAAAGCTTTTGGCACAGTTACATTAACTGTTTAACCAGCCAGTGAAGAGGTTGTTATTCACTACCACTATCAGTGGCTGATATCTTCCAGTCAGTAGCATCAGCCTGTAATCAAAAGGGACATTTTCCTGCTTCAGTCATCAGTTGCGTTTAACATACTGTCACCCAATCTCTTAAATTAATTTATTTTCCACCCCACCCCTCACCCACACACCTAATATCCTCTCTTTCCCCCCGTCTCGTTAACTTAATTTTTGATGCATAAATACTGACTTCTGATTTAAAGAGCTTGGTTGGGGTATTAGAAGAAAACTACTTGCATTTTGTTGAACAGAATTAGGACTGAGGTCTGCTGTAGTTCCTCAGCTGCAAGGACTGAAAGAAGCTGCATACAGGAAGCTGAAATCTGAGTGGAATTGGCAACATCGATCATAAACTAAGAGGAAAAGCATTCATTAATTATAGATCCAGAGTCAAGCTGTAAGTGTATAATATAATCCTCGCATTTGATAACAACAAATTACATTTGTAAAGCGCCTTTCACGTCAGGTATTTTACAAGTTATTTACCTGTACTATAGTGACTGGTCAAACACAGCAACCATTTTGCACACAGCAAGATCACAGAAATAGCCCATGAATCTCCACGAATTGTGTCATGGGATCTGTAATAGAGCACCTGAATAGGCAGATAGGACCTCACTTTCTGAAGGCAATATGCTACTACTCACTATGACAGCTGAACAATCTCCATAGTAACTCGACCAGATGGGGCCCATACAGCCCCCCAGTTCCCGAATAGTGATCTTCTTTTTATTAACTGTGAGGTCCGTTAAATTAGTCCCCACCTGAAAATAACACATGGATTAAATAGAAAGCATTTGCTGTGCAATTAATTAATGTCCCCATGGATTAATCTATGGATGCACACTCCTCACTGAGCCAGTCCAAAGCCTTGGCATCTTGCTTGACCCTCAACTGTCCTTTCTATCCCACATCTATGCCATGACCCACTCCTCAACATTGCCCGGCTCCGCCACTGCCTCTCCTCAGGCCACTCATCCATGCATTTGTTACATCTAAGCTGAACTACGCCAACTCTGCTTGTCAGCCTTCCCAACTCTTTTCTCCAGATCATTCAGAACTCTGCAGCTCGTGTCTTCTCTCACACCAGGCTCTATGACCCTATCACCCCCACCGGGCTCCACTGGCTCCCCATCCCCTAGGGGATAGAGTTCAAAATGTTCGTCCTTGCCTTCAAAGCCCTCCACAATGTTGCTCCTTCCTACCTCTGTGACCTGCTAACGCCATATCGACTTGTCCGCTCCCTCTGATCAGCAGACTCTGGCCTGCTCCGCGTCCCCTGCCCGGCCTGCCCTACCAACTTCCCATCCCTTAACAAATGTATACAAGGCTTTTCTCCGAATATCAGTGTTGGGAAGGAATATTATCATTGGTGTATAACATTTTTGTATCCAATAAGCTTTACTAGAGGTGTGAGGCAGTTTTATGTACAGAATAAAAATTGCAGCAGGGTCAGGCAAGACTTTTGAGCTCAAGCCCAAATTTCTGACTCAGGATTGAGTCCTGCCAACCAAGCCAAATTAACAATGTTCCTCCATACCAGTATGTGACTTCTCTGCAATGAGTTCAATAATTCAGTGCCAATTTAGTACAAATGGGATTAATTCCTGTCTACCAACATACTTCATTTAAGATCCTCACACCCATCAGAGGGGAAACTTGTGAGTTTGATTGAAACCTGGATCCCAGATGTGGAAGGACAGTAATTGAACCAATGTATCATCCAGCTTCTTGTTTTCTCCTAATGATGGTTAGGAATACTGTACTAACATGTAAAGCTTTTAATGCAACCATAATATTAATACATTATATTACTCAAAATATACCGTGGGCAATGTAGATGGAGGTTCTCCTAAATCAGCAACATTTTCTTTGAGACTCAACTGTAAGTTTTTGTCAAGGATGATGCACATCTGAAATATTCGGGTGTGCTGAATTAAAGCAGTACAAATTCATATCTTTCACACCACAAGCTGAGATTCCAATTATTTTGGGGAAAAATGCAATTTGGATTCCTGGGAGAAAATAATTTAGCAGCTTCTATAATTATGTAAATCCATGCTATTACAAAATGGTTCATTACATTCGGTTAATCTGTTTACCATGGGTTCCTATAATCAGTCAAAGCTTGACTGTTTTAGCACCAGTTGATGAAACTGAAGATCTTTAAGATATCTACGGGAGGCTTGCGGTCACACACATTTTGTTTGCTGCACGAGGTGCTGTTACGACATCACAAAACCTCTTGCACAATTTCTTTACGCTTAGGAAAGGAAAAAGGAATTGGCCTTCCCTGGGTTAAGAGTTGGTTGAACCAGTCAGTGTTACTGCTTCCGGTCCCTCTACATCACCCTATATTGCTCGTGTGTGTGTGTGTGCGTCAACCAGGTGAGAAGCCGTCAGGCTCCACTGTTGACATCCTCTACAGCCGAACGATCTGGCAAAAGTCTGCCAACGATACCCACTGGGGCTGATGAGGGGTGGGGCTTGTTGGCCAGGACACCGAGAGAAACTCCCACAAATATACAGTCAATTCACTTTACAGAATGTTCTGTGAAGCGCTTTGGGACGTCCTCCCGACGTGAAAGGCGCTGTATCAAATGCGAGTATTATTATTACTCTCTTTTCGAATAGTGCCAATGGGATCTTTAACTCCACCTGAACAGGCGGATGGGACCTCGGTCTAACGTCTCATCCGAAGGACGGCACCCCCCGGCCATGCAATGCAACGCGCGCCGCGCGCCCCCCCCCCCCGCATCATTGGAGCGTCGTCTCTTAAGACCCTGAAGCGATTCCGAGTCGCGAAGCGGGGACTCGAACCCCCGACCTTCCCGGACGCAAGGGGCGAGAAGCGCCACCCGCTGCGGCAGGAAGGGAACGCGGGAGTCGTTGGGAGGTTCAGCGAAAGGATATTGTGCAATCTTTTCAGCAGGAGGGTTTTCCCGACCCCAGTGGCGCCCAGCAGCAGGCACATGGCGGCGGCCACAGCAAAACCGCGGCCTACGAGGGCGGAGGGAAACACACGTCAGAATTACACGGGCGTTTAACAGGCGCCCGGGCTCTTAACCCCCCCCCCCCACACACACACACAACCCCCCACCACACCCCCACACACAGCCCCCACCACACAACCCCCACCCCCCCACACACACACACAACCCCCACCCCACACACACAACCCTCACACACACAGCCCCCACCCCCCCCCACACACAACCCCCACCCCACACACACACACAACCCTCACACACACACCCCCACACACACAGCCCCCACCCCCACCACCCCCACGCACACAACCCCCCACACACACACCCCCCCCCCACACACCCCCACCCCCACAACCCCCCCACACCCACACACCCCCACACAACCCCCCACACACACCCCCACACCCCCCCCACACACACCCCCACACACACAAGCCCCACCCCCCCCCCACACACACCCCCCACCCCCACACACACCCCCGCACACACAGCCCCCACACACCCCCCCCCCCCACGCACACAACCCCCACATACACAACCCCCCCCACACACACCACACACAACGCCCCCCCCCCCCACAGTCATACGTTTAGATAATTAAAAACAACTCCAAAGTGGGGGGAGGGGGAGGGGGGGGTTTCGATGGCGAGAGCTTTAAATCCAGGGGCGCGCGGTCGGACCGTTAAAGCTCGCGCCGCCCCTCAGTGGGGATTGCGAACGTCATCGCCGGGCGCCCGTTGCGCCCCGCCCCCTCCCCTTCCTGTGCGTTGCTGCGCAGCGACGTCATCCGGGACGCGCCGCCCGCCAGCGTAAGGCCCCAACCTGCTCCTTCCCCTTTCTCGCCTGACTCTCCTCCCCTCCCCTCCCCGCTCCTTCAAGTCGATAAGCGGACGGGCGGCTCCGGAGCGGGTCCGTCTGTGGGAAAGAGAGCGACAAAGGAGTAAGCCAGGAGCGACACAGCAGCCCCAGGCGGCCAGAGAGATGGGCAAAGGCGGCGGCCCCTTCGAAAGGCTGCTCGGTAAGAGCCCCCCCTCCCGCCCCCACCACCCCCCCCCCACCACCCCCTCCCGCACTGCCGTGGAATGAGCTGGAAGCGGGGAGGAGACCAACCGTCTTGTGTGTGTGTGTGAGAGAGAGAGAGAGGCCTGAAGCCTGGGAGTTGCCTGACAGCAAGCTCCCCGGGGTGATGCCTCTACAGGGGGTGGTGGGGGAGGGCAGGGCCCGAGCTGAAGCCGAGATGGGGGGCAAATTTGGCCCCAGGGACACCATACCCCGCGGTCTCTGGAAATCCGGGGCGTGTGATCAGCCTAAATTAGGGGCATCGCCTTGAAATCAGACCCAGAGCACTCGGGGGGAAGGTTTTGCTCGACACACGGGGCTGTGACGCTCGGCCCCGGAGAGCTGTCGATGCAGAATCATTCGAGATAGGAAGAGGCAGGACAGGGACTTGGGCAGTTGAGGGGTTAAGGGCTACAGTGAAAGGATGGGTCATTAGGGTTAAAAAAAATCTGACAAGATCCAATAAACTGGTAGAACAGGCTGAGTGGCCTCCTCCTAGTCCTGTTTTCCTACGTTTCCTGTGCAAATACAATGTCGATAGCAAAAACAGCTGTTGAAGCTGAATCCACAATTGCTCAAAAAGGGAGTTGAACAAATATTTGAAACAGAATTGCATGTGTGGGTGGGGGGGAAAAGTAGGGAAGTGGGGGTAAATGGGGAATCTTTCAGATTGGCATGGACATAATGAGCTTAATTGCCTTCTGTGCTGTAAATTCTGATTCTATCCTATGTCTAAGGCTATTCACAGTAGAAAATCCTACAGAATGATGTGTAAACAAATTACTTGAAAACGCATTATTAGTTATTCTAATCACATAATCTATCACCGCTGTGCCATTGCAGTCCAGGCTTTACTGAAAAGAACTTGGCGGCTCCAGAGATAACTCGCCAACTGAAAGTGGTGGGAGTGAACCCTTTGTTAATTGTGTGATGCTAAGCAGCTTTGCTTTTTGATCTGTATCAGAAATGGGTTATTTTTTAATATACGTATGTGTAGTTGTTACTCAAGGCAGGGTTGATGAAGAGTTGTTGGTTGGTTTGCTGTAGTTCAAATGAATTTTGATTAAATCTCCAAAGCCTTCCCCATTTCGAAAGAGGCATGTGAATCAGCCTCTGATGCAATGGAAGGTTTCTGGAGTTTGCAATGGAATCTGAAGCTACATGGATTTCAGTCCCGTTCTTGTCCCTTACCTCCCTGGGTGGGAATGTAACATCTGAGCTGCCTTCTGGTCAGGGTTTAACAGGTGTGAACTCTTTGAGATCAGCCTGCACCGAAACTGAGTCTTGTTAAAGAAAATACGAGGCGGAGTGTTGCACTTTAGTTTTGTTTAGTGCTGCTTCCTACTCATTTTTTGCCAGGAATTCCTCCAGAAACCCTGTAAAACTCCTCTGCTCCCTCTGGCCTCCTCCTGCTACAATCTGCAGGCTTTTAAAAACCAAGCTTGGCATGATCAAAGCAATGGCCTATTAGCTCAGGAAGAGTAAATGATATCTACTGCCTCTGGCTGGATACTGGCAACCACTGCAAGTCTACCATTTCCTTGCTGGGTTTATATAGTCATGATTGTTTCATTTCAGATTGTAGCACTAGTCTCTCAAAATGCTTCACAGGCTATTGCTGTCAGTCAAATGAAATGACTGGACTGTGTATTTGTAAGCAACCCAATTTATGTGCAGCAAGGTCACGCAAACATCCATGGAGTGAATGATCAGCTGATCTGGGAAATTGTCAGCCTGGACACCCATTGGGAAAACTCCCTTTATTTCTGAATAGTGTGGTAAGATTTTTACAATCTGCCTGAAGAACTTGTGGACGGGGCTTGATTTAACATCTCACCCGGTGGAATCTGAGTTCACATTGTTTGTTCAGGGGGCGGTTGTGAGTTGACATGAATAATCCCTTTTTTAAAAAAAACAAATAAACAATAAATATTATAATAATTTAGTCAATCAATCCACGAGTGTTTGTGGGACACTACTGTGCATAGTTGGCTGCCGCGTTTCGCCCACAAAATATACAGTCAATTCACTTTACAGTATATTCTGTGAAGCACTTTGAGACGTCTTGAAGACATGATAAGTGACTATATCAAATGCAAGGATTATTATTATATATTAAATTGTGCACTTTTGTTTCCTCCGGAAAAGACAAAGCCACAAGCCAGTTACTGCTGGAGACGGACTGGGAATCGATCCTGCAGATCTGTGATCTGATTCGCCAGGGAGATGCTCAGTAAGTGTTGTATTTATTATGGGATGTCCTTCCCACCAGGTTTTTCAAGACCGAAGAGTGGAAAAAGATGGGTTTATACCGTTGGGCCAGGTTAAAGTGGTATTACCTTCCTATCTTCTTTGGGACGTCCTCCCGAGGTGAAAGCCGCTATACAAATGCAATTTTGTTGTTGTTATGGATGGAAGGGGGATTCTGAGCCTCTATTCTCTCTCCTCATTGAATTTTGGATTAATCTAAAAATGAGAGGCACTGGTGAAATCTCTTGATCTCTTTCAGAAAGTGCTAAAAGGATTTTTTTTAAAAAGATGTAGTTTTATAGCAACAATTCAAGGACAGAAGCAGGGGAAAACTTGTGTTGTGGTTTGATCCTCCTCTGACCGTGCCTTTGGTCATCCTCCTGCCCCCACCCTCCCTGCCTTCCAATCTTCCTGATCTCAACCCCAAGCTCAGATACAATTCCTTGACTGTCCAGCAGCTTGGGACGTCCTCCTGACATGAAAGGCGCTCTACAAATGTAATCTATTGTTGTTGTGGGTGGAGGGTGGGTTCTGCGCCTTTCAGATTGTGCTTTGCTGGTGGTTAATTCACATCCATTTCTTTCTTCAGAGCAAAATATGCCATCGGTGCCATCAAGAAGAAACTTAATGACAAAAACCCACACGTGGTCCTTTATGCTCTGGAGGTGGGTGAGCGCTCCGCATGCCGCTCTGCGTCTCTGCTCCGCCGCCATGTCTTGACTCTCGCCGTGTGCTTTCTCACAGGTCCTGGAGTCTGTGGTGAAGAACTGCGGCCAAACCATTCATGATGAGGTGGCCAACAAACAAACCTTGGAGGAGCTGAAGGAACTGTTCAAGGTAACAACAAATTTCTGATTATTAATAATAATAATAGTAATAATTCTTTCATTTGATATACCACCTTATCATGACGTTGAGACGTTTCTTAGTGTTTCACTGAATATACTGTAAAGTGGAGTGACTGTGTATTTTGTGGGTGAATTTTTGTTCCTGTCAATTTTTTTTGTTCTCCATGCTGGGGTCTGGTTCCATAGGCAGCTCACCCACGTGAGCACATAACAGCAATCATGAGCAGAATTCTTGTGTGAAGGCCTTTGTGATGTTGTGACATGTTAAGTCCCTACATCAAACACAAGGACTTCTTCTTTTCTGTAGGCATGTCAGTCTATGGAAATCCCCACGGCCATGCCAATTGTATTCACTTCCTGTTGCTATTTTTTTGGCACGTGATCATCGAATGCCCTTTTGTCACTACCGGAATATTGCACAGGATAAATCATTGAGGGTGGGGGGGGGTGAGGTATTGGTGTTTACTTCCTGGTGACATCATCCACCTTGTGACTGGGATGAAGTATCAAACATCTGGAGCAGAGAAACAGCTGAAGCCACCGCCCCTCCAGTCAGCTTTAAATTGTTTTGGAGGTGAGCAAAGCTCGATAGTTAAGACCCCTTTCCCCAGCTTCTTTTTTTTGTTGACTCCCCCCACCCCCAATTTTCCCTCTGATCGTTCCTTCCCCTGTCTTTACCTCCTGATAGCTTGGTGAAGGACTTTGGTAGCTGTGAGCACCATGTTTCTGGGTGGCCGCTGAGCTTGTCTGCACATGAACAGACGCGATGGGGTCACTTATCCAGGATGATGCTTTGAAATGAAATTAACCGTTTAACACTGCATATTTTTTGTGAGCTGGTTTACCTGCGACCTTTCTGTTCTGTCCGGTTGCTTTGACAAGACTTCGCTCGCTGAGCCATGGGGGAGAAAGCGAGGAACAAGTTTTGAAACCAAAGCCATATGCTGTGTTCCGAAGTGCATTGCACTTTCAGGGCACCACAGACACCGGAGTTCTTGTTCTCCTGGTGTGGGGAGAGAAAGAGAGAGAAAGTGTTTACCAGCTACTATCCCCCAAATCTCTGGGACACTTTTCCACTATGCCTCCACTTTGCCTCCTCCTTATCCATCTTCAGATCGCGCCTGAAGATCTTATTCTACGAACGTGCCTGCGGTTGCCTCCCCCCAGCTCGGTGTCGTGCTCCGCCACTGTCAAACGGTCAGGGACGCTACCCTCTGCAAGGGGTGCTATATAAATGCTAGTTGTTGTTGAGGACTGGCTGATGGATTTGCATGTCTCTCCGGTAGAGGCAGACGGAACCCAATGTCCGCACCAAGATCCTGCAGTTGATCCAGGCCTGGTCTCACGCTTTCCGCAACGAGCCCAAGTACAAGGTGGTGCAAGACACATACCAGATCATGAAGGTAGAAGGTGAGGCGGTCATGCGAGGCCCATTGTGGCCAGTCTACAGGGTGTCCTGTTACCCCCGCCCTGTGTTTTTTTTCTACAGTGCACTGATCAACAACTGATTATGATGATAATTGTATTTAGAAGTACTTAATTGTATTCAGTACAAGTGTTTAACTGTATTTAAATGTCTGAAGGATCAGTGTGTGTGTGTGAGCGCCATCATTTTCGTGGCAAATAATGATCCGTCACCATGTTCAGTGCCACATCGCCCGTAACATGGATGCTTTGGAGTGATGAGGAAGTGACTCGTATCAGACATAGTTACACTCAAGTCATTTGCAACAGAAAACACATATTAATTGTAGGAAAAAAAACTGGGGGTAACAGGACTTTGTGTCTGAGAAGAAAAGTACATGGTGTTCACAAAGATACATTTACAGCTGGGAATGGGTGTCATTCCTCCGTCAATTCAACTGTGTTTTTCCTGTCATTTCCAGGCAACGTCTTCCCAGAATTTAAGGAATGTGATGCAATGTTTGTGTCCGAAAGGGTAAGTGATTACAGGGCTGTTTTGGTTGTGTTATTTCTGGGATAACTTGTTTGTGGAATGAATGAGATGTGGAATGTGATTCAGTGTATCTGACCAATCTGCTTAGTAAGCAAATCGGGATGGTTTCAAATGAATGTCTGTTTCCTGCATGACCATTGTTTGTTACTGATGGGAGCTGGACTCCAGGTCTAGTTATCGGGATTTACCTATCACTGTGTGTGATGGGAATCCGAGTAAGGAGGTGGGAAGAATGTCACACTGACCCACAGGAATCTTGTTGGAAATTGCTTTGTGGTGGAACCCTATGTGCAATTGATTTGAATCCCCCTGAAGATGGTGTGCAGTGGTGTGGATGTGGCACTTGCATTGGGGTGGTGGGGGTGTGTATGGGGGCGGTCTGTGGCGATAGCTTTAAGTGGGAAAGAACCCAGGATTTGTGTCTTGTCAGCAGGCTCCAGACTGGGTGGATGCCGAGGAGTGTCACCGTTGCAGGGTGCAGTTTGGAGTGATGACGAGGAAGGTAAGAGAGAGCGCCGATTCCAATCTGAGATCAGGAAACCTTTCCTTACGCGGCGGGTGATGGGAATGCGGAGTGCAGTGCGATGCCCTCAGAACGCCACACAGGCAAAGTCAATTGGGATGCTTAAAAGGGAAACGCCTCGATGCTTAAATCCATCCAGAGCGTGGAGATAATGGGATTTTTAAAAAAATCTGACACAATCAAATAAACTAGCTCGACAGGTCTCCTGATTTTCCCCCCCTGCTGGGCAGACTGGGGCGAGGACATACACATCCAGTGTTTGTGCTTTATCATGGCTGACAGACCCATTACGGAGACGCTGCAATTAAAATGAGGTTTGGGCTAACGACATATGGACTAACCAAGTGCAAACTATAAAGATGCCCTTTATTGCGTAACTAACAACCAATGAAAAGGTTTAAATTCTGTTATCCTTTTCATCATTAATAATGATAATAATCATTCATTTGGTATAGCACTTTATCATGTTGAGCATTTATATTGTTTGCTGTTTGCCAACGGGCTAATCATACGCAGTTAGCACAAACGTCATTTTAGCCCCCACCCTCCAGGTATTGTAGATGTTAAGTATATTTAAAGGGGTTGGAACGTCGATTTAAAAACCTTCTTGTTTCCCAGCATCACTGCCGAGCGTGTGGTCAGATCTTTTGCGGCAAATGTTCCTCCAAGTCCTCCACCATCCCCAAGTTTGGAATCGAACGGGAGGTGCGGGTCTGCGAGCCCTGTTTCGAGCAGCTGAACAAGTTAGTAGCTCATCGGTCGGTCAATAGGCCGGTGTGTACACCGGTCCCCAGAGTAAATCCTTCCCCTCGACACCCGCCCGAAAAAAGTCAGGGAGAACAGTGTGACTGCAGAGAGTCTCTATAGCAGTTGCAGTCCCGGTGGGGAAAAGAGTTGGTATTGGGGCGGGGGAGAGGATTTCAGCTCTGTTCCTTCTCTCACAAACTCATGTGATTAGGATTGGTGGGGCAATTGATTCTCTTACCAGTGGAACTGGTGATGTTTGCTCATACAATTTCCTCCATTTCCCCCACACACAAATAAATTTTTTTTTGCGTATGACCAGTGTGGGAAAGCGTTGACACAGAGGCAGAATCAATTGGGTTGTTTAATATTGTAGTTTTAGAAGGAGGACTGATGGTTGAAGTAAGGGTGGTAGTGGAAGGAAATGGGATTGAAATGTGATCTGATAACCTGGCGGAACAGCCTCTTCCTGTGCCCAAACCCCCCAGCTCAGGTCCTCAACGACAATAACGACAGTTTCATACCTATCATGTCGGGAGGGTGGCTCAAAGCACTCGGGTCCTCGTGTGACTCTTTAACGGGGGAATCTCGTGTAGAGCTGCCGTGTGTCCGGTCAGAGGCTGTGGGTCCCCGCGCTCGGCGGTTCCGGGATTACTGTGGTTCGGGAATGCCTCGGTCTGTGTTTTTACGATGACCTATAATTTTTCTCCACAGAAAGGAAGACCTTGAGGCCAGTAACATGTACGGCACATTTTTATTCTCGCTGGTAGATTGCAGTACAATTAAGCGGCTGTTTTGTGTGACTCGTAATGTTTTACCGTCGTCTCCCTCTTTACTCACTCCCGTGCGTCTTGGTTAAAATGTGAAACATGAGCACAAAGATACGCGGCATTTAGAGCAAAGTGGCACTGAGTCACACAGCCCAGAAACCGGTCGTGTTTCCCAGTGCAGAGGAGTTACCTGATCTAATCCCTGCCCCTCCTCTCCTCCCTCCCGCCCTCAAACCCCTCCAATATCCTTTCAGCTAATTTTCTTTTGAAAGAATAGACTCATTCTGCCTCCTTTGTGGTCAAGATTCCACGTTCCTACCACCCTCAGTGCAAAGGCACTTTCCTGCTGCCCTTCCCTGCTTCACCTCTTTTGGGATTTATCCTGAATCTAATGCTCTCCTGCTTCATGCTTGCTGTGGAAATAATAATAATAATCCTTGTATTTGATATAGCGCCATAACATGTCATTAAGACCTCAAAACGCTGCACAGGATATATTGTAAAGTGGAGTGATTGTATATTTTGTGCGTGAAATAATCATAAACCCAGTTAGACCTGTGGGATACCCTCTCCTTCCCTCTGTCCATCCCCTCCACAGTTGCTCCCGCTACGTTATGTCACTCAGGTCTCCCCGGCCCACCTTGCTTTTTCTTTCCCCAGACACAATCCCAAGGTTCAGGAAGACGCAATCCATCATTTATTTTGTGTGAAAATACATATTACGAGTTACTGATATTCAGATGTAAAGGTGGTGCTGGGTGTGGTTGGGGCGGGGGGGGAGGCGGGGGAACGAAACATAGCTTCACTATAAGCGGCAATACCCTCCTGCCATTGAGAGATGTATCGCAGCTGACAACAACAATCGATGTACACGTTGTGTTAAATGTTTAACAGGATTACACAACACAAAAAAAAACCTCATAGAGTGACTAATCTCTGCCGGGAAAGGGATCATAAAATGAACAATTCTGTGGCTCTGACACCAAATTGACGATGTGCTAAAAACGAAGCCACCTCAGGAACCCCCCCCTCCCGTATGGTTTCCTGGTGGGGTGTGGTGGGTGGTGGAGGGGCTCCTGGTTTGGGTAGTCTGGCTGCCGACAGGCACAGACACCGGGGTGTGCTGGCTGCCCCAGTGCTGACCCAGCTTCTGGCCGTTGAGGCCGTGCTCTCGGCTGTCGCTGACTTGGTTCACGCTGTCTGTCTGTTTTCCCCACCTCTCTCCCCTTCCCCTAGTTTATCGCACTTTTGTTGAGAAGCTGCAAGCTGTGTGCTGCTTCGTCAGAATCGTTTGGTTCGGTGAGCTCTGACCTTTTCTCCTGGTTCTCTTCCCAGGAAGTCTGAGGTAAAGACCATCGCCTCGGCCCCAGCAGATCTCCCACCCGAGTACCTCACAAGCCCACTCTCCCAACAGTCACAGGTAAGCTGTCCAGTCACTTGCTGACATTAAGCCTGATTGTGGTTCCCCTCAGGTCCTATTTGCTTTTGTTGTTTGGGTTTGGACGTTAGGCTGGGCAGGGAGTGATTCAACGTTGGGGGATAAAATTAACACTATTAAACTGTAAACTATTTTTTGGTCAGCTGGGTGACTGACACATGTGGAAACCCATCACCATGTTTAAGAGTATCCAAACCTAGTTCTATGTTTCCCATCTACATGTGGAAGTTTGAATGAGGTATTAAACTGAGGTACTGTCCTGTTCGTGTTCAGAGATTGTTCAAAGATCCCGCGGCGCTATTTCTTCCTATGTCCTGGGCAACAATCCCCCAAGTACATTAGTCAACATAAAATGCGGTCACTCAATCCACGACTGTTTGTGGGACACTGCTGTGCGCAATTGGCTGCTACATTGACGTGAAAAGCGCTATAGAAATATAAGTTGTTGTTTTGTCCACAAAATACAGTCAATCCACTTTGCATTATATTCTGTGAAAAGCTTTGAGACGTCTCAACGATACGATAAGGCGCTGTATCAAGTTATTATTAGCATTATTATACTAACTCCACGGCAGTCTGTTGGACCTTGCTATCTGCACATTGGCTGCTATGTTTGCCCACAAAGTACGGTCCCTACATTTGACGGCAACTCTCCGTGGTACGGAGCTTGTAACGGGTCGGGAGGTTCTCTTGTGCCAAGAGCCGCGGGTCCCTGTCACAGGGTCTCTGACCTTCCACACCCCCTGCAGATGCCCCCGAAGCGCGATGAGGCCGCCCTGCAGGAGGAGGAAGAGCTGCAGCTGGCGATCGCACTGTCTCAGTCCGAGGCTGAGGAGAAGGAGCGGATGGTGAGTGAGCTCGTCGGATTGACGCGTTCATTTCCCTCTCCCCAATATTTTTTTTATGCATAGTTTTGCACGGTGAGGTGTCAGAAAGAACTGAGATGACTTTGTGGGACACTGCTGTGCGCAATTGGCTGCCGGGTCTCACCCACAAAGTACACAGTCGCTGCACTTGATAACAGATTCTGTGAAGCGCTTTGAGACGTCTCAACAATTTGATAAGGCGCTGTATCGAATGCAAGAATTATTATGAATAATATTCTCCAAACCAAGTGGAAGGTTGGTTCCTTTGATCCATCGCCTGCCGCTGGAGCTTTGACGACAGCTCGTTTTATTTTCTCTCTCCTGTTCGCAGAGACAAAAGAGCACGTACTCCATGTACCCAAAGACTGATCCAGCACCGGCCACCTCATCCGCACCCCCAGGGAGCAGCGTCTTGTACTCCCCACCAATGGTACGTCTGTCTCCAATGCCCGTTACTGACTGGAACACAAGCCTGTTTGATACCTCTTCCTTCCTCCCCATCCAGCGTGCACAGTAAACTCACCACTGGTCATAGCCCAATGGGGCTATTCTTTGTACCAGCCTAAATGTTGCGGGTTCAAACCCCATGTGAGGCGTTCAGGCTTCTCTGAGAACTCAGAATGATGAAGGGTTTTGAGAAGGTTAACTGGGAAGAAGCTGGGGGTTAGGGAGAGGCACTGGGCTAACCCCGCCAACTGATCTTTTGTTTTCTGCCGTTCTAGAATTCCTCAGCTCCCTCAGCTGAAGAGATTGACCCTGAGGTAAGGAACAGTACCTTTTTCTCCCTTGTTCTTTTTTGTGGTTTTCCGATGACAAAGCGTAAGGCTGTTGTTGTACCCCTTTACAGCTGGCTCGCTATCTCAACCGCAACTACTGGGAGAAGAAGCAGGAGGAGGTTCGGAAGAGCCCCACACCCTCCGCCCCGGTCCCTGTGGTGGAGTCCATATCCCAGCCTGTTGAAACGCACCCGGCTCCTGTCACTGTGGTGGAGGTAAGTGGGGGAGGGGGAAGAGAAAAACTGTCACTGCCTGAAAAGTTGCAATTGATATGTGAGCGTGCTCTCGCTTGTACTTTCTCTGCACGTCTCTCTCCCTCTGTGATTGTGTCTCTCACTCACTCTCGCTCTACATGTCTATCTCTTTGTGTGTCTGTGTGTGTGTGTCTTTCTCTCCAGCTCAATCTCTCTGTCTCTCCCTCACTCTTCACGTCTCTTTGTGTGTGTGTCTCTCTCTCTCTCTCTGTGTTTCTGTGTGTGTGTGAGTTACTGAGGGTTCCCTTCCTGTCTAGCAGCAGTATCAGAACGGGGAGTCGGAGGAGAACCACGAGCAGTTCCTGAAGGCGCTGCAGAACGCGGTGGTGACGTTTGTCAATCGTATGAAGAGTAACCACATGCGTGGCCGCAGCATCACCAACGACACGGCCGTGCTCTCCCTCTTCCAGTCCATCAACAACATGCACCCCGAGCTGCTGCAGCTGCTCAACCAGCTGGACGAGAAGCGACGTAAGTCAGGAACCTCCTTAATTTCTGGCATTGTCCTGTGTGTGTGTGACCTTGCTCTGTGTGCAAATTGGCTGCTGCTTTTGCCTACAAAATACCTAGTCGCTGCAGTCAAGAAATCCTTTTGCGATCTCTCGATACCCCCAGGCGCTGTATAAACGCGAGGCTTGTTGCGTTACAGTTTACTATGAGGGCCTCCAGGACAAGCTGGCCCAGATCCGGGACGCGCGGGGGGCGCTGAACGCCCTGCGGGAGGAGCACCGCGACAAGCTGCGCCTGGCGGCCGAGGAGGCAGAGCGTCAGCGGCAGATACAGCTCGCTCAGAAACTCGAGATCATGCGGCAGAAAAAGCAGGTGCGAGACGATGGAGGGTGGGGGTGGGGTGTCCTTGTGTCTCCCAGTTAGCGGGCTCTGACCCCACCATCGACAGTTGGACCTTTAGCCTCTCTCACCCCCCCGCCACTTTGGAACTCCATCCCCCAATCACTTCCCTCGCCCCCATCCTTTTCCCCCACGTCAAGGGACTCCAGCTGTACGCAAATTGCCCGCCGTGTTCTACGAATTTAAAAGTGTATTTGCTGCCGCGGGTAAAGCGTTGGAGACATTCTGACGTTCTGGTCTTCTTAGGAATACCTGGAGATGCAGCGGCAGCTCGCCATCCAGAGGCTGCAGGAGCAGGAGAAGGAGCGACAGATGAGGCTGGAGCAGCAGAAACAGACCATCCAAATGCGAGCACAGATGCCAGCATTCCCCCTGCCTTACGCACAGGTACACCCTGCCAATGCACAGGCCCTGCCCTGGTTTAGCGCCTCATCCAAAGGACAAAGTGTCTCAAAGTGGGGGAAGTATCTCCCGGCTTTCCCCCAAATAAAATCAATCAGTCGCTCAATCTACGGCTGTTTGTGGGACACCGCTGTGGGCAACCGACTACTGTGATTCGCCTACAGAATGCACGGTCGCATCACTTTACAGTGTATCCTGCGAGGGGCTTTGAGACGTCTCAAGTGATAGAGTGCTATATCAAACACGAGGCTTATTATTCCTGTGTAACCTGATTTCTCTGGTCTCTTTGTGCCCAGCTCCAGTCACTGCCTCCTGCTGGCAGTGTGGTGTACCAGCAGGCAGGACCTGCCAACTTCCCTGCTACCTTTAGCCCCGCCGGCTCGGTTGAAGGCTCCCCCATGCATTCTGTCTACATGAGCCAGTCAGGGCAGCCCACCACAGGGCCATATCCCTCCATGCCCGTCTCTGGAACAGGTGAGTGGTGTCTTTAGGGAACAAAATCAGCTTCAGTGCAAATCGTTCACGTCCTCCAGACTTGAATTGGGTCGGGAGAGGTCAGGTCATGGGCAGTGTCGGAAAGGAATGCAGATGACAGATAATAGGGTGGGGATATCAGCAGCGGGTGGGTGCCAGACTCTGGGTGCAGTGCGGCGCTGCAACTGTATTTGTCTGTTTGTGTTGTGTCTGTCTGTTTGTCTCCGTGCCTTCCCTCACACTGCTCTTTTCATCTTCAGAACCCAACATGGTGAATCCCTACATGTACCAGACAGCGGCATCCGGTGGCCAAGGGGCCCAGCAGGGGCCTGGCGTCCCCAACACCAACCCCGGCTATTCCACCTACCAGCCCACCCCGTCCCAGGGCTACCAGGCAAGTTCGGTGGTGGGGTGGGGGAAGGCTCTGTGTCTTGGGCTCCAATTGCCAGGGCTGCTGGCAGGAGGGAAGGTGGGGGAGAGAAGACTGTATTGGTTGTGTGTTGCTCGTTTGCCAGCTGCAGACTGTGACTGACTTTGTTTCTTTTGTTACAGAATGTGGGCTCTCAGGCCCCCCAGAGCCTCCCAGCGCTCTCCCAGGCTCAACAGGCAGCGGGAATGGGTTACATGGGATACCAGCCATACAATATGCAGGTAACCCAGCATACCACGCCTCACAGGAACAGGAGTAGGCTAGTTCAGCCCCTCAAGCCTGTTCCACCATTCTATAAGATCCATTCTATATATTCCGCCATTCTATAATGGCTGATTTGTACTTCGACTCCAATTACCCAGCTTTGCCCCATATCCCTTAATGCCCTTGCCTCGTCTCCTCAATGATAACGTCTGAAAGACATGATAAGGCGCTATATCAAATGCAAGGATTATTATTGTTATAACGCTTGCCCTTTGTAACCGAAGATGGCTGGTCACGCAATATGAACTCCCAGGTGCGTGATTTGTCTTAATATAGTGTAGAAGCTGCTGCCCGCACAGCAACCACACTCGGGTAGCGAACAGCGTTATCTGGTGTCGGAATATCTGAGAAGCCCAGACCACTTGCTAACGGCACTCTCGAGGGCAATTACTGTTTGAGTCAATTTGACATAAGGTGCCATTTTTAAAAAAAAAAAAGTTTGATCTTTTCTTTCAAGCAAGAAGCATGCAGTGTTGTGTGTGTCTCTCTCTCTCTGGTCCTGGAGGTACTGTGGGTGGGGATGTCAGGCCGTGCAGTAGCTTGTTCCCTCTAACCCGCTCCCGTTTTCTTGCTGCAGAACATGATGTCCACGCTGCCTGGTCAGGATCCCGCCATGAGTAACCTGCCCCAACAGCCCGCTTACCTGCCAGCTCAGCCTGCCATGTACCAGCAGGTGAGACACTCACAGTGTCCGAGCAGCTTTGGTGTTTGTAAGTCACATGCCTGAGTGATGGTGGGGGGAGGGAGGTAACAGATGCCAAGCCTTGATGCGTGAGATTACTTACAAGTGTTTTTTTTTTCTCTCTCCACAGATGCAGCCCCCGGGAGTCTCTCAGCAGCAGCAGCCCCCGCCAGGCCCTGGGGAGGCCCAGCTCATCTCCTTTGACTGACGCCCACCCCACCATCGCTAGCCGGAACCGTGCAGGACGGGCAGTTATGTACAGAGCGTCGCCCTGGGCGTGCGCTGGACTAACACTAAATACATGTTGGCTCTCGGGACAACCCTCCTCTTTTCCCCCCACTCCCCCACCATCATCTCGAGCCTCCTCACATTCCCCATCGTGCTGTGTGTCCTGTCAGTGATTCCTGTAGTGTTTGTGTGGAACGGTTGGTGGGGTGGGGGGGGGAAGAATGGAGGAGGAGCACATTTCAATCTCCATTGTAAAGCATGTTGGTAGTGGGCAGGAAAGAGGGCAAAGTAAATGGTAAACTGTTTATGTGCCTTTGTTCAGCACATTTGTCTTCTCTTCAATTTCTTCCTTTTCTCCTACCCCACCCAATCCCCAGCCAAAAAAAAATAATCAGCACTTAGTTGATTTGCAGGCTTCCTACAAATGCTTTGTTGAGACCTCGGGAGCCCTGAAAGTTGACGTGTGTCTGTGTGTAAAGCACGTCTGACAAACCTCACTGTCACCCAGAGGCTGAGCTCACTTTGATTGGCCCCTTCTCCAATCGTTGGTTTCTCATTCCCACCTTTCCCTCCTCCCCCACCCAACCAACCTGAAAACTTAAGCAGATCAAACCCTCGAATTAAGTAACGAGGCCATGACCTGCTGCAGACACGCTGCTGGTGGTGGAGAGGTGGTCAAGCAGCCTCCCGGGCAGTATAGGGTTTAGGCCGTCTAATAGACTGCCTCCCCCCACCCTCCCCGCAGTATACAGTACCCCTTCACCAATAATGCTAAGCTCCACTCGACCGTCGAATGACTAGTTAAAATTGTTCTATCAGCCCTTATATCGCGCCTTCGTTCTCTCCCGCACCTTCGTGTATCTAGCCGTCAGTCAGCCAGCGACTAACCTCTCTTTCTGCAAAAAAAAAACAATGCTGCATAAATGTGAGTTGTGCATGCTTGAGGCAAGAGCTTGTTTTAACTCTGCACTTAGTGGTAGTGTAGTATAAAGCCGTGCGTGGGACTGGCATTGACACAGCGTGGGTAAGTGGGTGGATGTTTATCTGAACTTTTTATTCTGGGGTCTGGGCGCATGTTGCTGTTCTATTCATGAATAATGTAGACTTCCCCCACCCCGGCAATCTCTCTGCCTCTCTCTTGTCTGTCTCATTTATTACTTCTGTTGTACATCATTCATTCTACTTCCTTCATGTTAAAAGCTAATTTTAAAACAAAACCGTATTTAATAAACTTTTTCTTCATAGTTTTTTTGTGTTAACCATTAATTCCTGGGGGGGGGGGGTGTTGTGGCAGTCGGTTCTCCGCCCTGTGAGACGTTGTCTCAAGGGTATCAGAAGAACGAATGTGACAAGGACCTACCAAGGGGTTGAAGCCTATCGAATGTTACATGTGCTAGACAACTGCAAGAATTACAATACTATAATAATATCTAAAGATGTGGGTTTCCATAATGACACTTTATCTGATGACCTTTCTTACAATTTCACTCGACAATTTATACAACGGCCAATTTTTCAGTAGGAGAATTCTTGTCCAGGCATCCTGCCCGCTGGCTTTCTCTTCTTTCTCCGGTGCCAAAGCTCAGAGTCAAGCTTCGCTCCTGCTTTCCTCGTAGCCGTTCCCTCACCAGCACCATCCTCGGCCCTGCCCTGCACCCACCCCAGACCAAAGGCTCGGCCTCACTGCTCATCAAACTTTCTAAAAATCAAGCACTTGTCTTCCAGCATTTCGACCTGAAAGGTTCAGAGGGAAAGAAGCTGTTAATTGTGTGAATCGGTATTACTACTTCTACTACTACTAATAATAATAATCCTTGCATTTGATAAGCGCCTTATCACGTCATTGAGACATCTCAAAGCGCTTCACAGAATATATTGTGAAATTAATTGACTCTTGTGGGCAAAACGCAGCAACTATTTGTGCACAATGACGTCCCACAAACAGTCGTATATTGAGTGACCAATTGTTTTTGAGGGATTATTACTCCCAAAAAGTGATCTGTCAATCTATTAAGAACCAGGTTCCTCCTTATTGCTAGGTAAACAGAGTATGTGGAGTACAAACATGTGGAGTAAGTGTGCGAGGCAAGTGCGCTAACCACTACAGGACTCCACAGAATGGAGCGCGGCATAAAAGAAAGTGTTTTCCCCGAAGAGTTAACGATCGGAACGAATCTTGCCATCCGCTCCAGCCGCAGGCTCTTCTCGTAAGCCAGCTGTCTCAGGACATCCATGTCAGGGAGACCCCAATCCGGGTTCCTGTGAGAGGCAACACAGCATCAGGGTACAGGGAAGAGACTTCGCATCCCACCCTGTTTGCTCTCTCATCACACACACACACCCCCAGCATCTGACATGAGGAAATTGTTACTTTACCATTAACCTGCAAAGAGAGTGCTTTCCTCCTCTTCCTATCAGGTCACCTACAGAGCTCCACCACTCACCGCTGTCTCAGCTGCCGGTCCAGTTGTGCGTTCGTCTCGTTGCTGATGATCCCATTGATGGCGTAGGGCTGGCGAAGGCATAAGAAAATGTGTGAATGATGTAGTGATGCTTGTGCAGCTCCTCTCCACTTACTGATGGGGGTGCTCTCTCCATTTCGTTAGGCAAGTGTGAATATAATAATCATAATAATATTTGTATTTAATATAGCGCTTTATCAAGTCTCAAAGGACTTTACAGAATGTACTGTAAAATGAATTGACTGTGTATTATGTGGGCCAAATGCAGCATCCAAATACTGGCAGCAGTGACCCAGAAATAGTCGTGGATTGAGTCATGAACACTGCAGTATGTTGCCATTAGTGGGTGAACCAACCACAGAGGGACATTATTACTCGAAGCAGAAATGAGAGGTTAGAAGAAAGGTATTCACAGGGTTATGGGGTGTGGAAGCTGACTTGATTGTTATTCATAAAGGAAGTGAGCACCAGTACAATGGGAAGAAAGTGCAGGGAATGGGAATAGAGTCGAGAGCTCTGTTGGGATGGAGTTGGAGTACAGAGTGATTAAACTGGTCCCTGTATGTGAGTTTAACCGAGGGGCTCTACTTACACCGTAAATGATTAAAATCCCACGAGGCTTCAGAAGGACCCAAGCTCCGCTCAACAGCCCCTAGTGAGAGAGAGATTAACATCAATTGATGAGGCAGGGGGTGGGGGGGAAGTGTCTGGTGCTGAAAGAGGGATCCCGAATGTGCGTTCAGTTTCAGTACAGACTGGCGGCTGTTGTGTGAGCTGCGAGGAGGCGAGTGTGTGTGTGTGATAGTGGTTACCTCTGCGCTTCCTCTGCTGGACAAGTGCAGCATGTTAATGTTCACAATCAGGTCGCAGGATTTCGGCTGCAAATTCGCCCACTCCTCCCAGGGCTCTGCCACGTCAATGTACACGACCTCCTTCACGTTTGTGACCTTGGTGGCGGCGACATACGCTGCAACACTGGGAAGTAACACAAAAAATCCTAATCTATTAGAGTAAGATTAATGCAGCATTGTAACTCTGTTATTAAGATTAAGGAGTCTTGTAGCATAGTGGTAAGAGCACTTGCGAGGACTCAAATTCCTGAATGGGGCGAAAGCTTAGGCAAGTTTCCTTACTCCGCCTCTGTTTACTTGGCAGTGAGTAGGAACCCAGTTTAAATTCACTCTTCAGTATATTCTGTGAAGTACTTTTGAGAGGTCTCAATGGTATAGTTTCCTTACTCCACACGCCTAATAATAATCCCTCCAAAACAAAAACAATAATAAATTGGTCATTTTCAATCTACGACTGTTTGTGGGACATTGCTGTGCGCAATTGGCTGCCGCGTTCGCCCACAAATATACAGTCAATTCACTTTACAGTCTATTCTGTGAAGCGCTTTGGGACGTCCTCCCGACGTGAAAAGCGCTATATCAAATGCAAGGATTATTATTATTAAATGTCATGGTTAATACAGGTGGTGTCCAGGCGTTACCTCTCTTGAGCAGACTGGCTAATGTCAGATGGTTGCCATGTCACGTTAGGAAAGGCTCGGGCGAAGTGAACGATGTGTTGTCCGGATCCAGAGGCCAGCTCCAGGGCAAACGACTCCCCAACTGTCTCCATATAATCCATCAGGACCTCCAGGATGGCCTGCTTGTTCTTCTCGGCCATGGGAGACAACATCATCTCCCTCAGAGACGCAGGTCCGGCCCAAAACAGCTGAACGGGAAGAGGATCGGACGTGGTTTCTCTGTCCAACAGATGGTTGTATGAGGATTTAAGCCGATTAATTACTTTACAGCTGGGGATCACATGAGGAAGGAAACCTTTTACCTCCGAAGGTTTGCAAAGGATCTTGTGCGGGGTTACTGAGACTTCAGTACTTTAACTGTGTACTCTTCACCGTGTTAATGTTTGTGATGAATGATTTTAAGATATGTAGGAAGGAACATAAACCAACCAAGCACTAGTTCACAGGCCCTGTGCCAGGCTGGACCAGATCACACGCTGGAACTCAGGGCTCTAGAATTATTAACCCCATTATTCACTGTACCATTTCCATACAGGTCTGTGCCACAGTCAATGCACTACGCGTTCCTGATATCACGAATGGCATCCTTAATGAAGGGTAAAAAAACAGTATCTGTTCAGCAAAAAAAAAGAGCTGTATATTTATTTGAAAAAAGCAGATGTGTAGCTGAGTCTTTTGTGATCTTTGGACACCAAGTAACACCTCTCCCCAAGACTTTCTGACTTATTTCCTTGAGCGCTACCGTACACAATAAAGCACCTTGGCAGTGAGTGAACATTTTCTTGGGAGGGGGAAGTGGGGGGAGGGGGGGGGGTCAGACTAAAATGTAATGATGATAATAATAATCCTTGCATTTGATATAATAGCTGGAGACCTTTCATGTGCAGATCACGCCCCCCCCCCCCCACCACCACCACCCGGTCCTAATCCTGTGGTGTAGCTCAGTGGTCAGAGCACTTGCCCCCCCAACCTGGGTTTGATTCCCGGGGAGGGCGAAACCTCGGGCGAGCTTCCTCGCTCCACGCGCACACACGGGCCGGACGATAATCCTAAGCCCCCCCCCCACCCCGCCCGAAAAAAAACACCAATAATAATTCGGTCGCGTCAATCGACGGCCGCTCGCGCGGGGGGTTGGGGTGGGTTGGGGTGGGGGGGGCGCTGCCCGCCACCGGCGGTGCCGCGTTTTCGCCCACAAAATATCCCAACCCCTTCGCTCTCCGGCGTACCCCGTCCGCGTCGAAGCCAAAGGGGGTTGTGGACGGGTGACAGCGGCTCTCGGAGGCTGAAGCGCTCCCGAGACGTCGCTCGGCGTGGAGGGCGGAAGTGGAAGTTGGTGGTGTTGTTGTCGTTGTCGAACCCCCTCTCCCTCCCCCTCCCCTGGGGGGGGAGGGGCGTCCTCCCCCGTGGCCAGAACCACGTGGTGGTGGTGGCGGTCACGTGGGAGGCGGTTTCGCTGCATCCTGGCACCGCCGCCTGTTTTACCCTCGAAACGCACCGGAAGCGCGAACCCCCGGACTCGAAGCCCAACCGAGAAGCTGCGACCCTTTAGAAAATTGATTTTTTTTTTCTTTTTGGGGGGGGTCGGGGCGGGCGCGCAGGGGAGCGAGGCTGCAATACAATAAATACCCGCGGCGGAAGCCGACGGCGTGCTGGCACGCCGGGTGCATGCCGGGATACTGGAGGCCCTGGGCCGGGAGTGGCGGCGGCGGGGAGGGTCGGATGCGCGCGCAGCTGCCGCCCCCCACGCTGCCCGGGACCTTGAGGCGGCGCGAGATGTTGGCGGCGGCGGCGAAGAGGCTGAGCTGCGGCCTATGCAGGTACCGGGGGGGGGGAGGGGGCTGCGGCCTGGCGGGTGTTGGAGCCCCGCGCTCGCCGCCCGCCCTACCTCCTCCCGGGCGGGCACACGGGGCCTCCTCGGTTCGCCGGTAGCCCACTGGCGGGTCTCCCCTTCCTGGTACCCCTCCCTCTCCCGCCCTTTGGGGGTCATTGAATGAAGGGATAATAGCGACAGGGAGGGGAGTGGGGGAGTGGGAGAGTGGGGGGGAGTGGGGGGGGTGTGGGAGAGTGGGGGGGGTGTGGGAGAGTGGGGGGGGTGTGGGAGAGTGTGGGGGGGTGTGGGAGAGTGGGGGAGTGGGGGGGGGTGTGGGAGAGTGGGCCCCCCCCACCCCCCAACTCATTGTGCTCAACGCCCAGTCAGTGGGGGCGGGGGATCAGCTCCTGTTAATCCTGCAAACCAAAGCCCTAATGAGTATGGGGTGGCACTGGCTCGGGGATGGGAGGGACAGAGGTATTATAATAATAATAATAACAATAATAATAATTAATAATAATAATGAATAATAATCCTTGCATTCATCAGGTCGTTGAGCCGCGTCGTCTCGAAGCGCTTCACAGGGTACAGTGCAGAGCGGAAGAGTCGGAAGTAGCCCTGGAGCGCTCGGCCGGTCAGGCGGTGCCTACGGAGAAAGGAAAGCGCATCGACCCGAAACCGTCGACTCACTTCGCTTTCTCCATAGGTGCTGCCTGACCCGCCGAGCGCTCCAGGGCCACTTCTGCTTTTGTTCTCAGATTTCCAGGGTCTGCAGTATTCTGCGTGCTGTTATGTCGTAGAGCGCTTTTGTCCGCGCATCTTGTGGGCAAAACACGGCGGCCAGTTGCGCACAGCAGTGTCCCACAAACCGTCGTGGGCTGAGTGATCAAATTATTACGAGTCAGGATTCAGGGATGATATAGAGGAAGACCCACAATCCTGAAATCTGAGAAGAAGAATCCTCGCATTCAGCGAACGTAACGTGTGAATAATTATTACACGTCTTGGCCAACAATCCCCAAGTTGGACCAATTTTATGGCTATTTGCAGGGCGTTGCTGTGCAAAAATTGGCACTTCAAAATACACTTTATGGTTTATTCCTGTGAAGCGCTTTGAGCCATGAAGTGAGCGACCAATTTAATATGGAGATTCCCATCCATTTTCCAATATTGTGGTGCATCGATGTGATGGAGTTAGGGTTTGATATTAAACTAGAAAAGGAGACGATAGTATGTTTGGAGGAGCAGCGATTTCAAGCCATTACTGATGTTACCTACTGTAACTCTGATCTCTCACCAGACAAAAGCTGCAAACCTTCTGTGCCCTGAGAGCACTGAGGACCAGCGTGGCCTGTCGCAATGACACGCTGGCCGTGCCACCACTCGACAACTCCCCGAAAGATTACTCGCCCAAGATCAAGCAGCTGGTGGGGGATATTGCCAGCCTGACTCTGCTGGAGATCTCAGACTTAAATGAGCTGCTTAAGGTACATTTCTCCCCCCCCAGGTTCCAATGCCCAGCCAAAACTGGCAATTGCTTGGGGTATCCTCTTGGTATGAAGACGCTGTACAAGTGTAGATTGTATTGTATGCCTGCAAAGAGGTTAAATCTTTATGTGCGTCACTGCTTTATGTCGCGTGGTACCTGCCTGCTTTAGTAAAGGGATGTCAGGAAAAAGCTGGGGACTGGAATTAATAAAAGTGATTTAGAAACTCAAAACAAGTGGTTTGGGCTGAAGGGATCGGATGATTGTATCATTGAAAGCTGCTTCTCTTCGCAACAGAAAACACTCAAAATCCAGGACCTGGGGATGATGCCGATGGCTGGGGCGATGCCCGCAGCAGCTCAATCTCCAGACGTAAGTTCTTTTGTTTTTTTGGCTGGCACGCTTTGCCTGGCAAATAACAGTCAAATCGCTTTCTGGGGGTAATAATCCCACCAGAAAAAAATGCGGTTACTCAATCCACGACTGTTTGTGGGATACTGCTTTCCGCAATTGGCTGCAGCGTTTCGCCCACTTTACAATATATTCTGCGAAGCATCTCAATGACGTGATAAGGCACTGTATCAAAGGCAAGGATTATTATTCTTATTAACTTCTGACGTGTGATATCAGGCCGAGGAGGAAGCTGCTCCGTTGAAGAAGGAGAAGACGCATTTTACGGTCAAACTTGTGGAATTCAAGGCGGCCGATAAAGTGAAGCTCATCAAGGAAGTGAAGAACTGCATGTCGGGGCTCAACCTGGTCCAGGTGAGGAATGATCTTGCGTTTAACCCCTTGCTGCCCTCACCGGACAGTGGCTTCTCCGTGGAGTCTGAACCGTTACACGCCTGTTGATTTAGCAGGAAGGCTTCACTTGCCTCCTGTTGCACTTGGTGTCGTGTCCCAGGTCACGGAGTGTGATCACTGCAGTTGTGTGGGTGGTATCGCACAGATTGTGGGGAGGCTGGGCTATTATGAGATCATCTGACAGGTTGCATTTGTTCCCCCCCCCCCACCTTGCAGGCGAAGAAGCTGGTAGAATCCCTTCCCCAGGAAATGAGAGCCAACATCTCGAAGGAAGAGGCAGAGAAGGTGAAAGCTGCGCTGGAGGCAGCGGGGGNAACGGTGCAATTAGAATAAGGCTCTTGTCTCTGTCCGGTCGGTCCCAGGCCTGGGTGAGCTGCAGAGGAGGTAACCCAGCGCCGTCTGCCATCTGCTGGGCCTGGCCCACCTCACAGCCGTTGCTAGAACTGCATCATGGGACTCGGAAGTCAAACTGACCAGATTATTGGATGTGTGTCTTGAGTGTCCTCGCACACAACTCGCCCTTCCACCCCCTACGAGCTACAGGGAGGGAATGTCACGCGTGTGTGTGGCCTCTAATGATGATCGTTACCTCAAGCAAAAGCCTTATAAAGACCTGTTCCGTCCAGCAACTCGAGACGACCTCCACCCGTCTCGTCCAAAGTTAAACCGCAAGGAACAGCCACGAAGCCCAGCACCTCGAGCACGTCTGACATTCATCCTGGTCTGTTATTATGAACATTGGAATTTTCTGTCAACTCAAAAGTACTGGGAGGCGCGGCATTCCCAGCAGGAAAGAGGGAGGCATTGGCTCCAGTTCCAAGAACGTTTTATGGATAGTGGAATATCGGCTTCAGCTTTGAGATAGGTTGAGGCCTTTTAGAGTAAAATAAAGTTTATGTATAACGCTTGAGGGCTGAGCGGTTGAATGTAATATTCTTGCGGTTGTTGCAGTTCAGTTATTTTGAGGTACGGGGGCCTCTCTTTACCCACTCCACCCCCACCCACCTTCCCCATGAAACAAAATCTCAATCTATTTTCACCCCCCACCAAAAAAAAATTCTCTTTTCCTTTCTTTGCTCCCCCTAACTCCGAGGCTGATTAGCTTGGGGCTGTGCTGTCTCCCTGTCACCGGGTGCTCTCTGTGCTGAAAGTAAAGTGTAATTTCAGACCAGACAAGGTGAGACGTGTTGATTTGACGGACACTCTTTACGTGGCATTAAAAGTGGATTTTGTTTTATATTTAACCACTTGACCTTCTCCCATCACTGTGACATTTTGTTGGGATAATTTAAGTTATGTGATTGATGTTTGGTTTGTTTGTGGGATTCCAGGCGCAAGACATTTTAGAATTCCTCCCCGGAGATTGCTTTCGACCGGAGTTGGGGTAACCTATGTCTGGTTCCCAGTAGAATCCTATTTATACGTTTCTTTCATGAAAGGTTGTGGCATATGGATAGAGAGTGCTCCCAATGAAAGAGACTACATTTGTTGCTGTCTGTGTGCAGCTGTCTGGAGGAGCTAGTACGTTCCTCACTCACAAGTCGTGTCTCCCTCATATGTGGGTGGTAAACTTCCTGTCTTGGTCTGGGGAGGAATCTTGCTTGGTTTCTGTCCCTGGAAGGTCATTGCTGTAACCTACAGCGCCATCTGACGGCCCTCACAGCCCAGTGTGGGAGAACAAAAAGCAATGCCTCCCTCGTCTGCTGATCAAAAGACAAGCAGGAGAAATGTAATCGTATTTCTATCTGTCACTAATGAGGTCGCTTTGAACAAGGAAAGCTCTGTTCTGCAGAATTCCTCACCCTAACAACCCTCTGAGAACAGAAATTCCTTCTAACCTGCTGCTTTTCTTAATGTTCTTGAGACTAACCTCTCTCCACATGCATCACTGATTCCCCAACCAGAGCGACAGGATTTGCCATTTAATCTGATCTTGCTCCTTCAAAGATATTTGTATCTGCTCCTGTGGAAGAATTCACAATCAAATCAGCCTATCGTGTCTCATTCTAGTGAATCTGCATTGCACCCTCTTGCACTGTGGCTCAGACATGTAAGGGTGGAGCCTGACTATATATAGTCGCTTGTTCACAGCTGTTAAATCTCCATTCCAGTGCGGTTTTACAGCCATACCGACTGTAAAACCTCACCTGCACGTCCTTGACCAGCAAGTACAAGGTTACATTTGCTGCATTCAGTATGTTTGCAAACATCTCCCCTGCTCTGAGCATCGCTCCATTTATCCTCTCTTTCTCTCCTCCCCAAGTAGGTTTTGCCTTGTACTTTTGGGTTAAAGATTTGCATCATTCAGTATTCCAAGCATATCTTGTCCTGTGTACTCATCTCAACTGTTTACAGGCTCCGAGACGCTACTGACAAGGTCACAAACGACCCCCTTCCCCGCAGCCACTGATTTGTTGTCAGGCTCTCCACCCATGGGATCCTTTGTTCTGCCTTGTGTTGTAAATCTGGCCAATCATTGATAGGGTTTAGTTTGCTCCCTGTGTATTTTCCCTATTCACTCATTTTGCACGTTTTCCCTTCGCTGTTATGTAACCCGTCCACCCCTTTCCCGCTGGAGTTTGGAACCCGGCACTGATTTGTAGCCGGGGATCGAATCAAATTATTCGCAAGAACAAGCTCAGATGGTGGACAAAGCAGTAGATTACCGCAGCATCCTGCCAGGGCTGGCCAACTCACTGGCATTTCCCTGAGTTAGCACAGTGTCCGCTGAGTGTGCCTCGTTGGCTTTCAAAATAAAGCAAATGTGAGGTTATCGTTTAACCCAAACTCTTGTTTATTGGTGATGCACAACATCAGGACTTGAGCTCAGAGTCTGTGCCTATCGCACTGGTGGGCTGTTTGCATTTCACGCACCAGGTAGAAAACAATCACAGAAACAACAAAAGTTGCTCGGATCTGCGCCACGAATCAACAAATAAGATTGGTCGCACTCCCTCGGTTTGCGGGACCTTTGCTGTGGCTAAACCGGCTGCCACCTCTCGCCCACGAAACGCACAGTCGGTTCACTTCACGTCGTGTTCCGTGAAGCGCTTTTCGAGACGGCTCGAAAGGCGGCGCGTCAGATGCAAGAATCATTATTACCCGACACCCCCACACCCCCCCACCACCGCCACCGCCCGGTCAACACTTTCGACACCTCCTCCGGGTGCGATTGCAGCCGCCGTCGGTTTTTTTTTAATAGGCAAAAAAATTCGTTGATCGTCTGCTTCTAAAGAGAAAGAGAGGTCGACCCACGTGCGTTATGATTTTTTTTTAATCTCTTGAATCCGGAATTGGTGACAAATCACAAGTCATCTGCAGCATTGAGAGTGGGGGGGGGGAGTGGGAGGGGAGAGGAGAGAGCCAATCAGAGCCTCCGCTCCCGTTGAGTGACAGCCGCAGCGGCCAATCGGCGCGTCAGTCCCGCTTCCGCGCCCCACCCCCCCCCCACCACCACCACCTGAGCGACTCGAGCCGCGGGAGGGGGGCGGGGCGAAGGCGAAGGCGGGACTTGAGGCTCTGAGCAGTGGGCGGGGCCGGAGCCGAGCGGCGCGGTGATTGGCCGCGGCCGCTGTCGGTCAACGGCGGCGCCGCCCACTCCCGGGCCACGTTCCAACACAGTGTGTGTGTGTGTGTGTGTGCGCGGTCCCGCCCCCTCTCTCCCCTCCCCCCCCCCCCCCACCCCCTCTCCGGGACCCATTGCAGTGAGCGCACGTTTGCAAGTTATTCATACAGAGGGAGTGGAGGGGGAGAGAGAGAGAGAGAGAGGAGAGAGAGTGGCGCATTGCAACACCGACCTCTCAACCCAACCCGCGGGATTCGCGTTAACTCGCGTTTGCAGCAAAAAAAAAGGAATAGGTGACAGACAGAGAGAGAGAGAGAGAGAGACAGAGAGAGAGAGAGAGAGAGACAGAGAGAGAGAGAGAGAGAGCGTTGCAAACATCTCTCGGTGTTAACTGAACAGCTGTGAAACTGACACATCGTTTCGTTGAAAGAGACGCGTTTTTTTTTGGGGGGGAAGCAATTTTGCACTGTGTGTTCGTGTGTGTTCCTGTTTTACCTCCACCCCTCCCTCCCTCCTTCCCTCCACCCCTCCCTCCCTCCTTCCCTCCACCCCTCCCTCCCTCCTTCCCTCCACCCCTCCCTCCCTCCCTCCCTGGACTCTGCCCCCATCCCCCCCTCCACTCCACCTTCCTTTCGATTTTTCTTTACAGCATTGGTTATAAAGGGAGGAGAGAAAAGGGAGGAATCAGAGAGCACAGAGCAGGAGAGGAGGAGAGGAGGAGGAGGAGGAAGAGGAGAGGGAAAGGGAAAGGGGAAGGAGTGGGGGAGATACCCCAACAATTCAGAGCAAAGCAATTCACTGCTGTGGGCAATATGGGTGAGAAGAGAAAGCGAGTCTCCAGGTGGTACTTTGGTGGGTTGGCATCCTGTGGAGCAGCGTGTTGTACCCACCCACTGGACTTGGTGAAGGTGAGTGACTGTTCCTTTGCAGCTCAGGAGAGAGAGGGGGAGAGGGGGAGAGGGAGGGGGTAGAAAGGTCTCTTCTCTTGTTCCAATTGGGTTTTTTTTTTAGGGGAGAAAAAGGGGGGGGTGGGGGGTTTAAAAAAAAAAGGAGGGAGGAAATTGCAGATTGCACCAGGGAAGACTAAATGACTGAATGAGCGAGAGTGTCCCGCCTCGTAGGGTTAAGGAAGGGTGTGACCTCTCGGCCAAGAGGGCTCGCTGACGACTTGTCCTGCGGGCTGCGTTAAACGGTTCGGATCCGAAAGAGGAACCGGGAGTGGTGGGGGTGGGGAGATACCGGGAGAGAGCGCCCGTCCCCCCCCCAACACACAACGTTGCAGGGCGACGCACCCGGGTTGCGCCCGGGGTACTGGCGCGCAGGGTGAGGATTGGCTCAACAAAGCCACCGAGTCGCTGTGATCCGAGCCGGCGACGGAGGAATAAATCATCTCTTGCGTATCGTTTTAAGGCAGTGAATTGGGATTTGCCTCCCCCCCCCCCCCCCATTCCCCCGAAAGAGTGTGGTGGTGGTGGTGGTGGGGGGGGAGGGGAAACCGATAGCCTTCGAAGCGACGTCTCGCACGGAATTGCCGGCGGGTGTAGTGACTGCGTGCCCGTAGGTCGGCAAGCTCAGCGAGCGAGCCTGGTGCCCAGCGGGAAGACTCTGTGGATTCGGAGATTGATTCCGTTCAATTGATACAACAACAAAAACAACAGCTTGTGTTTATATCGCACGCGACACGCGGGGTAGTATCTCGGAGCGTTCAGAGCGAGAGCAGAGACATGGCTTCCGACACCTCTACTGGGTCCACTCAGGCTGTTAGAATCGTACAGCACAGCACAGAAGGAGGCAACTTGGCCCGTCGTGCCTGTGCCGGGTCTTTAAAAGAGCCACTAACTATTCCCGCTCTCACCTCATAGCCCTGCAAACTTTTTCCTTTTTAAGTATCTATCCAATTCCCATTCGAAAGCCACAGTATTGTCGAATCTGCTTCCCCCCACCCTTTCAGGAAGCGCATTCCAGACCTCACCAACTCTCTGGGTGAAAGAATTTCTCGCCGTTCCCCTCTGGTTCTTTTGCCAATTACCGTCACGGGCTGTTAAGCTGTTTGAACCTCGAGGGTCCCAAGTTCTCCCTCGGCTCAGAAATCAGTCAGCTGATCTCCGTCCACACAGATCACTCGCTGTGTGTGTACACAGCGCCTTTCACATCAGGAGAACGGATGAGATGTTAAACCAAGACAAGACCGGATGGTGATAGAAAGCGAGGGATGGGGTGATTAAGAGCGTTGAGCAAAGGCAGTGGTAAAAGTGAGAGAGAGAGAGAGAGGTTCCTCAGAGGTTTCTAGAGGAACAGAACAGGAAAAGTAAAACAAGGGCAAGGTCTAGGTGTCTACAATGAGGTAGACACATGAGACAACACTTAATAATCATGCTAACCTTTGATACGCATAGGCTTTCACATTAGGAGCTTTGTGCTCCATCCCTTTCTCTTTGAGAGAAATTTGCTGTGGGCAAATTAGCTGCTAGATTCACCTGCAAATCGTACAGTCACTGCACTTTACAGTAAATCCTGTAAAGCGCTCTGAGGTGCCGTCCAGCGTGGCGGGCGCTATATAAATCCAAATTGCTTTTGATGCGTCTCACTGAATTGAAAGGCGCCGCGTGAAATGAAAGGGTTATTATTGTTTATCTATTAATTTGGTAACTTTGTTAGTGAGTGGTTGTTATTGTTTGTTGCTGATGTTACTGTTTGCTGTAAACTTCTCTCTGGTTGCGACAGGTCCACCTGCAGACGCAGCAGGAGGTGAGGATGAGGATGTTGGGGATGGCCGGACACGTGATCAGGACCGATGGGTTCCTGGCACTGTACAACGGTCTGAGTGCCTCACTCTGCAGACAGGTCAGCCTTGTTCTCTCTCTCTCTCTCTCTCTCTCCCTCATTCTTGTTACTCTCTCTTTTTACTCCCTCTCTATTTTTCTGCACTCATTCTCTCTTTTTACTCTCTCTTTCTCTCTCTGTCGGTCGATGCCCTGTACAGAAGAATCATCAGAAAGCTACGGAGTTTCCATCTTATAAAATCATCAACTGAACTTCCTCAGTGTCTTAATTACCCCTCATTCCCCACCTCCCACCCCTCTCCCGGAGCCCACAAAGCTTTGCTGCCTGGTAATAAATCCTATTAAATCCCAGCCGGCTAAATAATAATAATAATCATCAGCTTTGCATTTGATACAGCGCCTTATCCCGTCATCGAGGAGTCCCAAAGCGCTTCATAGGATGTACTGTAAAGTGGAGTGACTGTGTATTTTGTGGGCGTGGTGCCAATGGGGGTGATGTGCGGGTATAATCTTTTGGGGGAATCCTGCCCAGCAAACTGGGAGTGTACTGGGTGTTGCCCGGGGGAGATGTGGTTCCTGTCGCGCTGATTCTCTAATTCTCGGCCGCAGTTGACCTACTCCCTGACGCGCTTCGCCATTTACGAGACGGTGAGAGACCGAGCGACCGGCGGCAGCGACCGCCCCCTCCCCTTCTACCAGAAAGTGCTGCTGGGAGCTTTCGGAGGTCAGTGTTCGATACCGTCCGTCTGTGTCTGCGTCTGTGTCCAGCGCCTCAGGGCGGGAAGGTTCGCCAGAAAGAGACTTTACCCAATACAGGTGTTGGGGAAAGTTATCAGAACCCGATCTCAGCCGAGGTCAAGTCAACACACCTTTACCTTTGCTAATTGGCACATGTACCCTCTCAGGTTGGGTTAGTGATTAAAACACACAATCGTGTGCATGTCCTGGTAACTAAGCATTGCTGTACTAAAAAGATAAATATTTGGTTATGTTCTAAAAGTGTACAAATTAAAAACAGTAAAATCATAAACACAATCGTACAGGACGTCCTCCCAACGTGAAAGGCGCTGTACAAATGTAATTTGTTGTCTGTCTGTCTGTCTGTCTTTGTCTCTGCACGTCCGCATGCCTGTATGTTTGTTCCTTGGGGTGGGATGAGTGTGTGTGTGTCTCTGTCCCCCTGGGGTGGGGGGATCTTTGTCCATGTGTTCCCACATTTGCAGTGAGGCGGTGAATGGCAGAGCAATGCTGCCGTTCTGTGGCGGTTGGTGGGTTTGCAGGAGAGGCGACTGGGAATTGGGGAAATCGGGAAATAAAAATAATCCTTACATTTGATATAACGCTTTATAAATTAACATGTAGGAACAGGAGGAGGCCATTCAGCCCTTCAAGCCTGCCCCGCCATTCAATCATGGCTGATCTTCTAATCTAACGCCAGCTAATACCATAACCCTCCCTTATCCCCATATCCCTTAATCCCTTTTGCAATAAGAAATGTATCTATCTCAGTCTTGAATATGTTCAAGGACTGAGTGTCAACAGCCCTTTGGGGTAGTGAGTTCCATATATTCACCGCTCTTTGAGTGAAGAAGTTCTTCCTCAACTCAGTGCAAAAGGGCTGCTTCTGATTTTAAGGCTGTGACCCCTTAAAACCTTATATTCCGAGGACCTCCGTGAACAGCTCCCGATGCTTCCCCCTCCCCCACCCCCCACCGTATAGCCTACTGCAGAAGTTCCATTTAAGGCCGACAAAGTTTTGGATGTTTTATGCTTTTTGCCCCCTCAACCAGTCCGCTCCCCCATTTTACATGAGACGGAGCCCTATCGGGGAGTCGGACAGTCGCTGGTTTGACCCCAGGACAGTTTTAAAGGGGCAGTGCCATCTTGACAGAGTATTTCACAACCACAGCATGGAATCACATCTTCGTGGTGGGGTTATGCAGAACCCCTTCACATCAGTGGGGGTGGAGGGGGAATTATCCTAGGTTCTGTTCTCTTTAAATCCCCCTCCCCGCTGATGTACGAGTCTCCCGATCAGGAGTGACCCCTTTTAACCGGCTTTGATATTTGTCACCCACAGGATTCACCGGGGGCTTTGTAGGAACGCCAGCCGACATGGTGAACGTGAGGTGAGTCAGCTGCGTTCATTCAGTAGCAAAAATTCACAGTCTCTAACCTTCACAGTTAAATCACTTAAAGATCTTTGAGAAATTCTGGTTATTTATTATTATTATATTATTATTATTATCGACTCTCTACCCCCTCCTCGCTCCCTCCCTTCCCTCCCCTCACCCTGACCATTTCCCCCCTGCTCGGGTCCTGACCCAACTGTACAGCGCCTTGGGACGTCCTCCCGACGTGAAAGGCGCTCAATAAATGGAATCTTGTTGTTGTTGTTGTTGTATTGATGGGGTTAATAATCCCTCCCAAGTAAATAAATTGGTCACTTCAATCCACGACTGTTGGTGGGACACTGCTCGGCACAATTGGCGGCCGTGTTTGGCCCCTAAAAGACACAGTCACTCCACTTTACAGTATATTCTGTGAACGGCTTTGCACCGTCTCAACGACGAGATGAGGCGCTGTATCAAATGGAAGGATTATTATTATAAATGATGCCCTGCAGTTCTAGGGTTGGGCCACGGGGCGGCGCTGTTGCACTGTATACGAGAAGACGTCCCAAGGCATTGGACAGACAAGAGGTTTGGACCTGAGTTGGGGGTCAGGATTGGGGAGGGCAGTGGGGGGGGTGGGGGCGGTGTGGGGGGTGGGGGTGGGGGAGATCAAAAACATGGTCAACGAGTTATTCTGACCCCCGGAGCGGGCGTCCTTTTCCTTCCCCACCCCCCCACCCCCCAAAAATATCCGAGAGACTTGAGACTGAGCTCGGTGACACCAAGACTGGGAAAAGCGTCTGAGTTTGGGAATCTGCGACGATCCAGAGGGATTTTACCCACTTTTTTTTTCTTTTCCCCCCCACCACCAGAATGCAGAACGATATGAAGCTTCCAACGCATCTCCGGAGAAAGTAAGTTTATCCCAAATAGTGCGATTGTCCCTCGTCCTGGTGTGCGTGTGGTTGACGGGGTGGGGGGGAGGTGAGGGGAGACATGTTTGAGGGGGAGGAGGGTGGGGGTGGCTGATGCTGTTGAGGTCTCAGCGATGTGATAAGGTGCGATATCAAATGCAACGATCGTTATTATTATTATTATTATTGGCTGATGGTTTCTCTGTTTGCGTTGTTCCCGCAGTTACAAACACGCCGTGGACGGGATTTTCCGAGTTTTCCGGGAAGGTGAGTCCCTATCGTGGAGCCGGGGTCCTCACAGCGATTGCTGCTTCCCACCACCTTGTTCACTGTTTTTACACCCCCCCCCCCCAACCCCTACGCGCCCTCTTCTCAACCCCCCCCCCACTTCCCCCCATGCTCTCGCTCACTCACCCCCAGTAACACTCTCTCCCTCTCTTTCTCACACCCACAGAGGGCCTGAAGAAGCTTTTCTCAGGAGCAACAATGGCCTCGAGTCGCGGGGCTCTGGTCACCATCGGTCAGGTACAGCCCAGTGCGGGAGGGGAACTGACACTGAGCCCGGGCACTTAGTGACAGCACCGGGAGAGTGGGGGGGGGTGGGGGAGGAGGGAGTGCGAGATGCTCCGGAACGCTATATAAATGCAAGTTGTTGTTGTTGAAAGTGTAGTGACTGTTTGAGTGTAACGCCTTCCCTCTTCCCCCAGCTCGCCTGCTACGACCAAGCGAAGCAGCTGGTCCTGGCCACCGGCTTCCTGTCCGACAACTTCCTGACCCACTTCCTATCCAGCTTCATCGCGGTGAGTCAGCCTGGGGGCGGGCGGGCGGGCACAGGCGGGCGTGAGCAGGAGGGGTGGGGGTGAGCGGGTGTGACTAACACTGTTCTCTGCGCTCAGGGAGGATGTGCCACAATTTTGTGCCAACCTCTGGACGTGCTGAAGACTCGGCTGATGAACTCGCAAGGAGAATATCGGGTACGGACAGACTGTGCCCTGGGCTTGGGGGCGTGTGGTGGGGGGGAGCGAGGGCACGGTGTGGGGGTGGGGGTGGTGTGCAGGCTGGGGTTTGGGGGGGATCGAGGGCTGGGTTGGGGGAGGGGGGCGGGGGGTGTAATGGCCGGGTTTACAGGCTGTGACTCTTCTCTCTGCCTTTAGGGAGTGCTGCACTGCGCGATGGTGACCTCCCGCCTGGGGCCGCTCGGCTTCTATAAGGTAACGGAGCTGGTTTAGGTCACCCGTTGCGGTCCCCGGTCTGTGGTCTGGATGAGGGGAGGGTTGAGTTTTGGTTTCCCCCTACTTCCCCCCCCCCCCCCCCATTAGTTACTGTGATGAACTCAATCTCCCAGGCGGGAGGGTTCATGATTGACACTCCCCCCCCCCCCCCCCCCCCACAGTTGGGGAGCGTGGAAATCAGCCAGTGGTTCTCCAGAATTTCCCCCCCGGGTGGGTGCACGGCAGGAGTTCAACATCCCCCTCTACTGCCCCTCTCCTGCCCTCACCCCCATTGTCATAACCCACCGACCCTGAACGTAAGACCCCGCACAATGATAATTGTAATAATCTTTTGCTGCATTTGACACGGCGCCTGATCACGTCTTCGAGACGCCTCAAAGCGCTTCACAGGATACGCTGAAAGGTGAATTGACTGTATGTTTTGTGGGCGAATTGCGCACAGCAGCGTCCCCACAAACAGTGGTGGGTTGAGTCACCAACAGTGGCCTGTAGGGGGCGCCAGTGAAACCGTTCCCCAATTGGCGAGGAGACCAGGGGCGGGTGGGGGGGGGGGGGGGTAGGGATTCCCGGAGTAAAAACAGCCGCCGTTTCTGTTCCAGGGCCTCGTTCCCGCTGGGATCCGTCTCGTGCCTCACACAGTCCTGACGTTCGTCTTCCTGGAACAGCTGAGGAAACACTTCGGGCTGGAGGTCACATGATTCCCCTCGGGGGTGATGGTGGTGGGGGGGGGTGGGGGGGGGGGGTGCAGCCTGACCTCTAACTTTAATAGTTTAACCACATTTTTTAATATTAAAAAAATCCACTAATTTGCCAATTAACTTACCAAATTACAGCCCCCCCTTCACCTCCTCTCCCCCCTCCCCCCCCCCCCTTCCCCTGCCCCGGGAATGTTTCGGTTTAAACCCGTCCAGTGGTATTCCAGCTGGATTTGGGATGAATTCCGGGAACGCCCGTTGGGATCCCGGCCTCTGTCACAGGAACCAGAGCAGGACTTTTAGGTTCAACGAGCCCGTTCCATCGTCTTATCCCGTTTATCCGTCTCGTCCACAATTTTTCCGGTCTTCCCCCCACCCCCCCCCCCCCATTCCCGCATTCCCGTTGCTTCCCAAGTGCCTCTCCATCCCCCTCTCGCATCGACTCGTGTTGCTGCCCTGGGAACAATGTGCTGTATATTATGTTTCAGTTTTGGAATAAAGTCAGTGTTAAAATGTTCACAAAGGAAATCGATTTCCACTGATAGAGGTCCGGGGTGGGGGGGGGTGGGGGGAGGAGTGGAGGTGGGGGGGGGACAGACAGATTGCTAGATGCTCGAGGTAGGTTTGAGGCTGTGAGGTGTTATTCGGTGCGGAGCGGGGGTCCCGGCTGATATTCCTCAGCGTTCCGAGATGTTACGCTATGTGACCGACCGGTCGGTGTTGGTGGGGTTGTCAGCTGTAAATCTCCCTCGTTCGGAAGGCGAATGATTTGCACTTGAACCGATTTATCGCCCGTTTCCTTTTTTCATCCATTTTAAGTTCCCTGCGGACCCACAAATCTGTTCATCGGGGTTCGCCTCCTCACATTATCTGTTTATGACCCTCATCAAATTATTTAAACTCTGCCGTGTCCAATTAATGTTTCAAGCCCACACTCTGATTTAGGGGGCGTTCATTTCATCTGTGCACACTTGTTATCGGAGTTTGTGCTTGTGTCTAATATATTATATATGTGTGTGTATGTATCTGTGTGTCTGTACACCCCCTCCCCGCCCTCGCTGGCTGGGATTAGCGGCACTCTGTGTATAACAGTCACTTCGCTTTGATCTTGCGCTGCAAAGCGCTCTGTGACACTTCTCTGGGGCGCTGTGTGGGTGAGTTTCTCTCACCGGCCTCTCGGGAAACATTTACTGAGAGCCGGTGACCGAAAAAGCCCCACCCTCAGAGCCCATCGTCCACTCGTGCCCTGGGCTGGTGCAGACTGAGCCGCTCTGTTCTGTCAGACCCGATGGCAACCCCCGGCTGAGATTAATTTAAATTGAATTTAATTTAGTGACAGGCAGCGGTTTCTGAATCCTGAGAGATTCGCAGCCCCACACAGTCGTGACGTCAATGCGGCCGCGCGAGCGAGCAATTAAACCCCCGTGATCAAGAGCGACTCTCGGAGGACACGCAAAGCTATCGGCGAGTTGCTGTCTGGTGTAGTGACTGTGTTTCTCCGGGGGCAGCCAGTTTGCGCTGGGCAACCTCACCGTGCGATTGACCGAGATGGGTTTCCGCCCATGTCAGGACGCCCGTCTGACCGGAAAGAAAGAGCTCAAAGTCCCCAACGTGGGCCTTAAACTAAACCCACGTTTGCCTACAAATGCACAGACACTACAACAACAACAACTTGCACTTATACAGCATCCTTCGTGCCGGGTAGGGTCCCGGAGCGCTTCACAGTTCGGGGAGTCTTAACAGCGAGTCAAGAGGGAGATGACCTTAAGCACGAAAGAAAAGGATGGTCTGTGTGGGATTTGAACGGGGGGAGGGGGCAAGGGGGAGGGATTGAGGGAGAGAGTTCCAGAGTTTCGAGGCATAGTGGAGGAAGGCACAGCCACAGATGGTGGAACAGAGGGCACGAGGGAACACTGCACTCGCCAGTGGGTAGCGTTGAGACATTTGCAGGTTACTGGCTCCTGTGTGAAGAAGAGCGCAGACTGACTGGGGAAAGAGGACGGCTGCCCAGGCAGATGAGGTGACGCTGGGATAATTATTTTGACGGAGAATTGCCATCGGGCAGATGCAGAGCACGTGAAGCCACTTAAATCTGTTGTTTTTAATCTAACGAACAGTTCAGCCAAGCGTTAAGAACCAGACCCAGGGACAGTCATTTTTCTATGGGGGTGGGAGGGGGGGGGGGGGGGGGTCACTTGTTTCTATTACAGAGAAGATAAATAAATGCCTGTAAGTTACCGTTAAACTCTCTGTCTCTCAGCAAACTGCAGTGTGATCGAAACAGTGTGAGAAAGAAACTCCCTTCTCTTTTCCAACGGTGGATTTTAATGTCCACTGGGGTTTGGTGGGGGGGGGGGGGGGCGGTGTGTAATACGGGACCTGGGTTTAACGTTTCAACCCCATTTTTCGGATTAAACTTTAAACCCAGTGCTATTTCCCCCCCCACCCACCCCCAGGAGTGCACTGGAGCGTCTACCTGGATTATGTCCCCAATGTGTGGGTGTGTGTGTGGGGGGGGGGAGGGGGGATGGTGTTATTGAACCCACAAATTTTGGTGGGGAGAGCAAGTGACTGACAATGCCTGTCCCCCAACTGTAAACTGGATGGTTGCTCTCTGCTCTGACCATTTTATTAGGTCATTAACAAAGGGCTCAGGTGTGAGAGCAATGGTTGACGACTTGAGTCCTGAGGGTGATTTTTTTTTCTTGTTCTCTCTCCATCACTCTCTCGTTCTGTCTCTCTCTCTCTCTCTCTCTCCGCACATCTGCGGATGTGGTTTACATTGGCTTTAGTTCTTCCCTCCCCCCCCCCCCTTGTCGTGTCGAGCGAGTCATTCGAGGTGAGGGAGATTTTAAGCTCGTTTTTGTTTTCAGCGCAAAAACAGCGGACTCCTGATCGCAGGCAGAACGCTGCTAAGAGGCAGTTCGTTCATTCCCCCCCCACCCCCCACCCGCGTCTTGGGTATTATCAAGCCCTCGATGAGTTTAAATATTATTAATAATAATAATCCTTACATTTGATACAGCGCCTTATCATGTCGTGGAGCTTCAAAGTGCTTTTCACAGGATACGCTGTAAAGTGCAGTGACTATATTTCTGTTTGCGAAACGCAGCAGCAAATTGTGTACATCAGTGTCCGGCAACCAGTGGTGGATCGAGTGACCAATTTTTGGGGGGAGGCGAGGTGGGGGTATGATTATTACCCCCCGGAAAGCGATCTGCCAGTCGACTAACAACTGGGTACCTACTCACTGCTGGGTAGACAGGCGTGTGGAGTACGGAAACTTGCCTAAAGTTTCGCCCTTTCCTGCCCAGGAATTGAATCCGGATCCTCTCGCTTGTTTTTTTTACACACACACACACACAGTACACTGACTGACAACTGAAACATGTGGAAGAATGATGATAATTGTACTCGAAAGTGACTTCATTGTAGTCTGTACAAGTGGTTAGACATCCAGAGGATGCGTGTGTGTGTGTGTGTGTGTGTGCGCGAGAGTGTGCGCGTGAGAGCCATCATTTTCATGGCAGATAATGATCCGTCCGTTGCATGTTCAGTACCACGGATGGATGGATGGATGGATGGATGGAGGGAGTGAGGAGGAAGTTACTGAGATCAGACATTGTAACACTTGATCCGCAACAGGACATAAAAATTCATTGCAAGAAAAAGACCACAGGGGCGAGAGGGCAGGGTCAACAGGACACCCTGCAACAGGAGTGTGAGGGTGGGTTGGGGGGGGGCCTGGCTTGCAGTGAGAACCTGACGCTGTGGGGTGGAGTGGGGGTGTGTGGGGGGAGAGAGCACCAGCAGCTGATGGTTTAAGGCTCCTCTAACAACGCCTATGTTAGCGGCTGGGAGCTGGTGTGTTGGAGATTCTCTCACGCTTCCCAGAGATACTCTGTCTGAACTTTCATTTCGCTCGCAGCCTGTGAAAGGCCGACAGAGTGAGGATTTCTAAATATGAACACAACGGAACCAGCAATGGGGGGAACGATGACGCACAAGATAGCATTAGTGATTAAGTGCTCTCCTCGCAAACAAGAGGACCCATGTTCGATTCCCGGGCAGGACAGGGTGAAACCTTACTCCACACTCCTCTGTTTGCCCAGCAATAAGTAGGAGCCCGGTTTTTAGTTGATTTGCAGATCACTTTCCGGAGGTAATAATCCTTTTTTAAAACACAAATAGTAATAATTTGGCCACTCAATCCACAACTGTTTGTAAGACACTGCTGTTTCGTTGTGTTTCGCCCACAAAATATACCGACAAAAGTACCCTACAATATATTCTGAGAAGCGCTTTGAGACATCTCAACAACGTGATAAGGCGCTATATCAAATGTAAGGATTAATATTATTATTACACCTGGAAATTCCAGAGAAAAATTGTCGGAATGAAATGCACACTCTCTGCCTGTTTATCTAATTCCAGAATGTATTAAGTGCAGGTTGGCAGGAGCCAAGGCTTGGGGACCCCAGAGTGTGCGTTGGGGTAACTGCTGGAGTCTAACCAGCTAAAACCGCAGAGCTTGCCATTGAGAGCAATGTCTGGGAAGCTTTCTCGCTGCTTGTCCAACTGGGACCACACTCCACATTAGGGCTTTGGCTTGCAGAGTTGACAGGAGCCAAGTGGGACAATTCCCTGCTCCCAATGATAAGTCTGCCCTTCCAGATGCTGCCAATGAGCCACTAATGTGGAACAAGAGCTGTACAGCAATCCACTCTCTCTGGCTGTGCTCCAGCAGAAGAGTGTGTGTGATATACAGGCAGAAATCCATGGAAGGAGCCTTGGTATTAAATCAGTGGCTCCTGACCCTGGCCAGGGGGGGAGCGGAGACTTGAACAGGCATTCGGAGACTCGGGTTTATAATGAGGACAAACAAACAGGTTGTGGAGAGACGGCTTCAATCACTTTTACAGAACGGAGCGAGCAACCAGCACCTATTTAATTACGGTACAGTTTATGTTTATGTAGCACCTTTCATGTCAGGAGGACGTCCCAAGGTGCGAGACAGTCAGGGATTCAG